CTGAGCAAGTGTCGATCGTTGCGCTCAGCTCAAAGCCGTACATTCCTAAACTTTGTGGACGAAGTAAAACGGCCGTTACGAACGTTAGTAAGCAATTTTTTTTAGAAAAACAAGCATCTTTGGGTGGCCAGTAAATCTAAAATAACCAAAAGCGTATGTAGCAGTGAATATTCATGACCAAATTTCTCTACTATTCTATAGTTACCCGATTCCGCTGTCAGAAAATTGTTGTGAAGCACAAACTGTTTAAGTTAACCTAAACACCCATTGCCACGTTACAATGTAAGAGCAAATTACCAGCGTAAAGCGAAATTTTATTAATGAGCTTGCATGCGGATATCTAAGGAAATTCTCTTTGTAATGACTACAGGAAGCGCACGTATGGTATGGTACGGAAAAACTTCATTTAGGTCTACCGGGGCGTGCACCACTAGCACGTAGCGGGCCACACCCCCGTCGGGACAGATAGGCCTAACCTTTCCGTCACATTGTGAGCCCGTTAGACTGCCCATAGCTGTGTCCTTGCGTAGCAAAGCATCCCATTTCGGCAATGTAACGTCTTCAACCTGTAACGCAGGGAACCGTCTGGGAATATGATCTAAGCTGACAAAGTCTGAGCAAAGCACGCATGTGTTTGACGTCTGAATTTCTAGATGAATTTCGTGGAAGAGTGCGGAACTTGGATATGTTCCGACCTGCAAGAGTCTGAGCGTCTCTGCCTGAGGCCTGTTCAGTTTACTTGGCGGTGGCGGATACTCTCGCCTCCTCGGATAAAAGTTCTTAGCAAGTTAATTGCACGTCGTTGGGGGATCTTTGTTGTCCAGAACCTCATCGCCCCCCCCCCCCCCCGCCATTCAGTAGCTACGCGGTCGACGACTCCTCGAGCAGCTCTGTGGGCCGTCTCGTTGATGTTGGATGGAACGCCCTCATTATGTCCCATGTGAGCTGGGAACCAGACGATTGTGGGTTGTTGTACTTCTTTATTTCGCAAGATTCGCAAGGCTTTTTCTGAGATGGTATTCAGGGTGAACATTGTGAGGTATGGGTGCCACGTTAATACGGCCTCTTAGCACTCGAGAAATGCTGCAGTATCTGGTATCGATTTTTGTCGGGTGAACTCAAAGCTCTCTCAGGATGTTTCTCCCGGTACTGGTGATAAAAAGTCTAATGAAGCACACGTAAGATGATGTTAAATTATGATTTAAATGTACATAAAATGTTCTTCGGCAACGAGTATGCTCTTGTGGTAAAAAAATTCTAAAACATTTGTCCGCATGCCATTTACACTGCGGCAGTGGACGTACGTTTTTGTTGCGTCAAAGGACATTTGTCAACAAAGTATTTGGTGAAAGCGGTTTTAATATTTCGAACAGTGCATCCCGAAATGTATATTATACTTCAGCACAATATTTTTGTAGTTAAGTGCGTTAACTGAATTGCATGTGCACCTAAATGTGTCTTTGAAATTCTGTTACACTAATACTTAAAAAAAACTGCGTTTCTGTAAAACGTTACATTACGCCAGATAAATGACCCATGCGCAAACTCACGATGAAAGACAATGCAAGCACTTCCAGTACACTCAGAAGAAAATAAAATAATTTTATAAGAAAACCACAAGATGACATTTATCAAATATGAGTTTGAGCTGTAAAAAAAGGCAGGAAAATACGAGATACATGCGTACTTCGTCGGCCAGGGGGAAAGCTAATGCCTTTCTGAAAATTCGTAGAAATTTAGTATTAAGCAAAACGTGATAGTGTTGTGGTGACGGTGATGGGGAAACTTTATTGCTAAAAGAAGGGCACGTTTTAAAACAAGCTCCTAAAAATTTTCACCGCACATTGATTTTAGTCATTTTCTTTTGTGTTGCCTGTGAACCCAATGAAACAGTCCTACATATTCAGTAAGCTGATGGTATGACATGCGATATTTCATTATACTTTCGTAATAAAGTGGTATCATTTTATGAATTTCAAAGGAAGTCTGGAAAATCGTATAGGTCATCTTGCTTGACGATGCCATTTTCAATGCTTCATGAAACTATGGATTTCATATTACAAGCGATTTACAAGAATTCCATCACGGACGCAAACGCAGTTTTTCTCTCCAAATACCACTACTCCAGTTTATGCAGCTAATTTTGAAGCCCGCTCATAATACCACATTGATTCTCTCTAGTGACACAACTTTATAAATAATGACATCATTATACATTCACTCTGTCTACAACATAGCACTGTCTGTGCCTCAGTTTTTTTTTCCTACACGTCAAGGCCGTTTTTTAGGCCTGTTGCTGAAGTGGACGACATGGACCCTATATGCAATGATGAAAGTTTAAAGTGTGTACACCAATGGTAGAAAACGTTATTACTTACTTGAATAGGGTGGACTTGAACCTAGAGACAGTATTCATATCTGTTCTTCGTAAAAAATGGGGACTCACACCGATTTACGTAAGAATTTATTCAAATTGTCGATGTACTTTCTACGCCTGGTCTTCACGCTGGTCTTCACGTGTAACCGCGCGTTAAAGATGCCACCTCTTGTTACAACTTGAGCCCTGATATACTTGCGAATGTCGTCACACATATGTGAGGTGCACTATTTTGCAATTTCAAAATACCTTTGGATAGTTACGCAAAATAATATTGAGCAAAATTTCAGCCTATCGATGCGACAGCTCTGTGCCGATGTCTACAATCATAATTTACATAACGGTGTCGTGGGCAACTATGAGCCCATGTTGCCACTTTCAGAGAGAGAAGAGAGTGCTGAGTGTGAAGGAATACGTCTAAAACGGCGGCAAAATAGATTAGCGAAACATGAATCAACTTTAACTAAACTAAAGCATTGTGATCTCATTCTTCTACGTCGACGTAAAGGTTTGTTTGTACCCAACGTAATGTTGCGTGTTGCGCTTTTTGCATTTTCCCGGTGCTCTCAACCTCTGACATGCTTCCTACATCAAATTCTTGAGGTAATTTCGTAGGAATCATTTCCAGACGTTTGCAGACGAATTTGTGGAAAACCTATCAGAAGGAAGATGATTGTTCACCTGCAGTGACTGCAAAATATGAGCGCATTACGGTACTCGTTGAGACCACCACTTATGGGCTGAAATTCTGGGCAGGAATTTTCGACTCCCATTCATCATTGACATGGTTAAGAGGAACACAATGTACGCGTTGAACTGATGCGTCGATTTTGTTTTTAATGGTAGCTCAATAGTTCCACGGAGGCCTTCTATGTGCATGAAGATTAGTTAACTCCTCTATTCTTTCCTCTCTTTCTCTTCTTTATACTTCCCTCTTTCATTCCCCCAGCGTAAGGTAGCAAACCGGGAATGTTTCTCTCTTGTTGTTCTTCTTTCCTTCTTTTGTTTCATTACCGTGCGGAAGCCCCGCCACGGTGGTCTAGTGGCTAAGGTACTCGGATGCTGACCCTCAGGTACACTTTGTTGAGTTAATATTTGTTGTTTTGCGATAAGAGCCTGCACGCGTTTCAGTATAGATGGATGCCCGTGATGGGAATAATCCCTCTATAAATCGTATGTCCAATGAACTTCGCTATTTTATCTAGCGAAACCTCTTTCCATAAACCATCTCACTCCGTATAGGTTGGCTTTCTAATATACGCATCCAAACATATTTCTTTACATTTTTGCACATCGTAATAAAAGACGTGAACAACATCGCGCGCAGTTATAAAACGTTTTGTGCCGCTCCGTAGTAAGTTCCGAAATGTGCTCCGGTGACCTTCTTGTCGCGAGGAGATGCTCAAAAGCCGGCAACAGCACACCGCGCCCCAGCAACATGTGGGCCTCGTGCGTAACAGGAGTAGCTATGAGGTTGTGCACATGGGCCGGCAGCTACGCACGGCGGTGGTGGAGGCAACTTGCCGTAAACAAAACAAACCAATGAACGGCTTCGGATGCTCCAGGCTGACGCAAAACATCGTCGCCATAATCCTTGAAGCTCAGGTGCTTTCATCCCCGGATTCGAAGCTCTTCCTCACTCAATTCAGGTAGGGTTGCAAGACTGTTTTGAGCAGTGCATGTGTTTTGCAGCGATGGTACACACTAATGTGCGCGTCACGACGAAGCCATAGGAGTGACTAGCAACACATTTCAGCCATGTGTCTGATATAAAAATACAACCGGAACGAAAGCGACTGAAAACAGTCTCAGAAGGGCACGTCCACAGTTTATACATGCGATGGACCTTTGAAAATATTCTTATGTAGAATAAATATTCCCTGACTCCTAGCAACAGCTCTCTGTTGAATAGCTGGCATAAATGACTGGTAATTATTATGACTAAACAAAGTCAGATTTCGTAGCTGAGAGCTTAATATGATATTTTACTTGCAAATGTTCTTTTGGTTACATAACTTTGGCTTTCATGTAGCATAGCCACGAAAGGCACGCAGCTTTGTCAAGTTTGCCAGCCAATTAGGTGCATTCTGCCCACAACACACGCACACTGGTTCGCGCAAAGGCCTGTTAAAAATCTACATGTTGCCAAAATGGGCAAATTCAAATAATTCTAAAAGCAGAGCGGCTGGATTAACTACTAGAAGATGCTAGGTGTATGAGAAAAAAATTCGACATGTCAAAATTGATGATCCAAAGCGTCAATCATTCGTGATCAATATGAATAGACGTGGTATGAATCTTGGTGCACGTAGGCGGCTGATGTAACAAATGCAAAATCACTTGTGTTCTTGTCTCGTATTCCTGTATTTTCTTTATAATTCAATGTATTTCGTCTTCATGCATGGGTCATATTCTATACCAAAGGATAACATGCAAGAAACTAGCTACTAAAACAGTTTATCAGAAACGTGTCGTCACTCTCAAAAATTAAAAACTTGTTTCCGCAGGAAAAAATACGTCCACGATTTTCACAGCATACGATTTGCTTCATAAGCCAACACAACTAGGCAGTGCATGTGTTGCCGTGAACGTGTTGTGTGTGCACATATGTACAGACAGCAGCTACGAAACAGGAACAAAGAAACTTTATTGTACACAGCAATATTTTCCTAGATATCTTTCTTATTAGATGTGAATTTTATGGGAATGTGTTTAAAACGATGTTTAACCTCCATAAGAGACACGCAGCCTATTTAAGAACGAAAGAGCTCACCGAAAGCACTTAACAGCAAATACTATACAAGCGCGAAAACCTTCTCGCAAAAACACCTAATATATGCTGAAATATAAATTGCGTTGCACTCACTCCACTCTTTTCGGGACAAATACTACGAAGGTTAAAACAGGCACAAGTGGTTCACAAATTTGTTGGTACTTTTTCCGTTTGAACCACGAATGCCTTACGAGCCATAGTGCCAATAATCTCAATTTAGGAGAACGTGATAGTCTTAGTGGGTCATGATCTGTCACGGCTACTAATTTCATGGTAGAGATGAACAAGAGTTCATCAGCTCTAAATGATATTAGCAGTAATTATCGTAGCTTAATGAGCTGTCGTTTTTTATTTAAAGTATCAGCTACACATTGTGAGCACCCAACTGTGGACATCATAAAAGGTGACTTAAGCCACCATACATAAAACAGGTGGTTCTAAACTTAACTAGCACCGTGTCTGTCTTGAAAGTTACGCAAGCGTATCAACTATACAAGCGCACGGTCTAACTGACGAAAGTATTTGTGCTTTCATGAGGAAACGCAGGCGAACAAGCTCTGCGATATCGTGATGTAACAACAATGTCTTAAGTTGCTATTCCACCAAATAATATCAAGAGGTTTGCTTATTGCACTCTAAACAGGGTAAAATGGTCAGAAATCAAAGTGATAAAACTAGCTTTCTACTAAGAGTTCCCGAGAAATCAGGAGGGGAGAGGGGTAACGATATATCTACAATACGTCAACAGCTTTTTTTCTATAAGTCCGTGTGATTTAAAACGAAGACTCTGTATCATTCGTCTAGGCTAAAAGAAGTCCCTGTAAAAATGTATGAGTCGCGTTTATTGATGCTCTTCACTTGTTTAGTTAGTGCGACGCGCTTTAACGATAACGTTGTTTGTTTTGATTCAGGTGCCTTTCTTTTTTTCCTACGTTTGGGTAAGGACTAACCAGGAAGAAATCACGAAAAAATGTTGAAGTTTGAGTAATAACGAACACGTATCATCTTTCTATACGGTCTTCGAAAGAGCTGTGCTTTGAACTCGTTGAGGTCTTCGAAAAATGTGTCTAAAATTTGTCCTCGTACAAAGAGGTCGTACAGGCCAGTCGTCATTTCTGTGCTTTGAAATGATGTATCCGTGCTAGAAGAGTGAGGCCTGTTTTTCACACCTATCGAAGTTCGCAGGCAGTTGCGGAGGAAGTTGTCTCGAAGAACACGTTAGGTCACTCACTCGCCCCTCTAGAAATATAATGGGGGCTTTATTTGAAAAAAATATTAACGAGCTCGCGTTCGTACAGAAGAAAACGTGCGGCGCGAAATCACCGGTAACGTAATGTGACTGGGCATTCTTTCAGTCTGATTTAACAGCAGCTTTTGGTAAGCTCAGTAAAACATTGTTTGAGCTTCACAAAATGGCGGAACGTAGGTCGCAAGTTATTATATGCGGAAAAGCGTTCAAACTTACAATCGAAGCGACAAAACTCTCGTCCGTCATCGTCAACTCGAAATTCCGTGACTGATTATTACTTTTCTAACTTTCCTTTTTTTTTTCTAGTCAGCGCCTCTTCAAACACTAGATGAATATCAGAAACAAGGATCTTGCTGGCAATAATTGTGCCCATGGGCGAACTGAAGCGACATAGCATTGCACAGAAGCACGTGAATGTGTCGATTGGCTCAGCGTGAAGAGAAGCTTGATAAAAACCTTGATAGATACTCTGTAAACTTCCACACGTCTTCAGAATCATTGGAGTCGGCCCACGAACGCACAAACACAGCTGATACTTTCTCGGAGCCCAGCTCCGACGTACCGATCTCTGTCCCACCTCGCGGGCCTCGTCCAGAAATGTTTGTCACACAGAGTTCACGCGAATGTCTGGTCTTCTGTGCTTGGGAGTCTTTTTTCACGGGGGTGTGAGCGTGAGGCATAACTGTGGTCAGACCTGGGTGTGGGTGTTGTCTCCGGCGAGAGCATGGTGTTCCAGGATACCGTGATCAGGTCCGACCATATTTGATGTGGGGCTGTACATCTGTTGCACCTGACAAAAGAAATGGGGGTGATGCGAAGTGATATGAGCGTTTAAATCGCCTGAGAGAAATTAACTTCGAACAAGCCGTGTACAAAGGCCAGCTTGCTCAGAATGACGACAAAGGGACAAGAAGATGATCGCTCGTCTTCTCGTCTCATTGTCGTCGTTCTGAGCTCAGCTCGTGGTTTAACAACCGTAATGTTCTACCAACTAGCCCAAACCACCACGCTGTCCGCTTGCTCAGAAAGTGGCTTGCGTCATATTGTGGGATTACAGCACTTGCGATAGTTTCAGCTCGCCAAACCATCTCAATATTTTTTCTGCCTTGAAATTGGTTCTCAGCATACACTGCACGTTTACAATACAGTCAGAGTAATAGCACCCACCATTGTCGTCACGTGTGAGTATGGTACTTAGCATTTTAGATGTTGTACTTTGCAGAACGAATTAAGAAAATAGAATTAAAATATTTCTGCGTTCTTCGAACCTTTTTGTTCGTTTATTACAGTACTTTCAGGCGGTAGTTCTGTAAGATGGCGAGACTACGGCAGTAACTAGTTTCGCGACTCCTATAGCACTGTCGCTGGACTGCGGAAAACAGCAGTTGATATTTATTCTTACTTTGTCAGAATGACACCACTTCGAGTAAAAGAAGCAAAAATGATTGGTCATGCTATCTTGCAGTCATGTGCATGACACAGTATTTTATAAGTTGTGTCATTTTTAATGAAACAGCTGTATATAGGGGTACCTTAAATATCGTGCACTAATGCATTTAAAAGTAGCATGCATGTAGTAGATGAGGTACGTGAGGTTGTCGGTTGTACTGGATGATGTACTGCCACGGCCGCTTAAGTCAGCAGCCGTGGCAGACTGAGCTTAATAGAGAAGGGCGACACTTAAAAAAACTATTGCTAAGAACATGAAACCATTCGTTATCAATTAGCTACTCTTCACACTCGCGAAACACTAGACGAACCTAAATTTCTATAAACTATTTTTTTTTACATATGACACCGAGTCTAGTAAAATTGATGCAGTACAAGCCATCGAAGTCTACCCACAATGGCGGGTGCGAAGAACTGCTAATAATAAAGCAAGCAACAAGCGAGTGTTCTGTGTGTGAGATACGAGTGTGCTCTCAAGCAGACAAGCGTGTGTTGGGGAAGTGAGGGAACTATAGGGTTTCAAGACGATGTCAAGAGCTCAGAATAAGGTTAAGTACCCAACTAGAGAGAGCCTTGCCGTACCCTTCCACGATCGCCATGTTGTGTCCCTGTGATGGACATTCGTACTTTAGCCTTCATAGCTTCATACATCGTCATCTGCAAAGAAACAGAAACACGTGAGTGAGAAAGAATGCAAGATTGAAACTCAGAGAACATACTTCTCAAGACCAGAGCATATAGGAAAAAATACGCTTGAAGTCACCTGTTCGATAGGGGCTATTATTCGGAAAATTCCGTTTCATTTGATGGTATATTGTTTGTATATAAGTACCAAGCGTAGAACTTCGGTCTTCAGCAGAGTTTCTCAAATTGGAGCCCGCGGACGCTAAAGGGCCCTTGAAGTTCTCTTGGGGGGGTCCGCGAAAACCATGCTTGGGAAGTTTTTTGAAGCCACACTGTGCCCCTTGACAGAGGCTTCTTTTGCTTTTCATCAAATGGCCCTTGTGCTTTCATCAAATGGCTGTAAAATTTCGTTGCACTTCACAACGATAGATGCCTTGCATGATTTTACAGCGAAACCTGTTCAAGGATCGCAACAAGGGTCGCATGCGCTGTAGTTGTCTGCCGCCGCCGCTGCGAGTGTCCATAACTACTCAGTAAATAAAGACACCAAAGACACAGTGGAATTCGAACTGGCATCCCCTGCTTGCCAGTCCAGTACCGCAGAGCCACGCCGGTGCATGGAACTCCGCTGCAGACTTGCCTCAGGCAGGCTTGGTCTCGGGAAAGGAATCGCGTTAGTGTGAGTAATAAAGCACTTTAGAACAGCTAAAGAACAACCAGGCGTCACAGAATGTGAATTGCGCAACGAGTGGGTTGTCTAATGCTCCAACCCATTACAGAAGCTTGTTCTTGTTCACCTATTAACATTGGCGCATACCCATTGAGGCATATTTCTTCGTCGTCGCAGCCACTGCATAAACAATACGCACAAAACTCCTTGTAAGTGTATAGCGGGTACCACGCTTCTTCGAAGATACGCGAAGGATATCGTAGTGAATGCTGGCCTAATACATGAAAATTGTGATTATTTATGGCGTAGAGGGTACCATGCAAATGTACTTGTCGCAGTTACTCAAAAAGTGTTTAGAAAACAGGGCTCTTAAAGGCCGCTCTTTCAGCTTTCGTGTGAATGTGCTGCGCGTTCCGCGCAGGCCCGGCGTTTTTTCCAGCCTTGATTGCTTGAAAAGCAAAGGTAGCTAGAAACAAGTCAAGCTTATTTGGATGCATACCGTAGAGCTAATCGACAAGTTGTTGAGATCAAATTGGCCTGGTGCTTTAGTTTGACGATTATTTGCCATGCAGCAATAAAAGGCACCTATTTTACACTGCATGTAGCATTAATTTACTACGGCCATTTTATTTCGCTGCACGGGGACCCTCAATTATTTCCACCGCTTCGCAAAGTGTTCCTGAAACATCCACGGTTGAGAGCCACTGGCTTACAGAATTGCTTTCAGCAAACTTTTGCAGCTGGTCGTCGACAAATTTTATGAGGTGGCCACTTAGACCAGTGGTGGTGGTGAACGGCCACGTCTTAAGTCAGTCCATACCCTTTGAGATACGTTGAGTGAGTTGACCTGCAGTAAATGTTATTTGTGAACTGAATGCTGCAACCAAGATGCGCGTACGAACGTTTTGAAACGAAAATATGTGTTTACGGGAACAAAACAACAGAGTCTGAGTCATCCTATCATGACATTCTGCGAACTACAGAAAAAAAAACTGCAAAGGAAGAAAGCCGTAGAAAACACTTAAAAAAAGAAATTATCGGACTAACTTAAATTATCTTCGGCAATATACACTAAAAAAATTATTGGATGTCGCTTGAGCTTGTGTTCACAAGCATATGCAGATCTCTCCATGAATGAAAGGGGGGGGGGGGTCCTAGCTTCGCAATGGACACATAAATAAAACAAGTGAAGGGGTAATGTGCTGCCTTTTTGAACCTTGTATTCTGGGGGTAAATTTGGGACTATACAATTCTTAGAATTCCACATTTCAGTTGTTCTCAGTTGCCATTTTTGTCAGACTTTCACGGCTATATCCCTACACTTTTAACTACGACGAGAGAGGTTCGATCGTGTAAAGGTAAAAGGCAGGTGGGGTGCATCCCTCAGACGATAAGTGGAGCGGGACACCCACCTTGGCGCACACCTACGTCCCTATGTTTCGGTTTACTATATTGTACATTGTGTCGATATATGATACGATAAAAACAACAGTGTTAACAAAACAAACGTATTTAAACTAATAATAACGTAACGTGTAAAGACTGAGACACAGGTAGAGGGAAGGGGCAAAGAGGAGCGCTCATATTTGCCCTTCCCTTTTCTGTGTCTCAGTTTTTACCTGTGTTTCAGTTTTAGAGGCGAAGCTCCTTATAGCGGCACTTGTTCGTCCCTCGTAGTCGTAGTCGTAGTCGTAGTGTGTAACCAGTCTTACGTTTTGACCTGCAAGGTGGTGCCGGTGGGAGATTTCTCTTGTGCGTTGTTGAACAATGAAAAATTCGTAGCGTGCGCGTTAACTAAAAGCTGAATTCACCTGCCTCTCATTCCCCATTAGCAGCCATTGGCATGACATTGAGCACTATCTGACAAGAAAAGGGTGCTACGTTATACTCGCTGGGCGTAACCTCCTTGGTGTTAGAAAGGTTTAGCGAGCGTTGAGCCGCGATGCCATGAATACAGTGAACTAGTATATACCATGAAGTCGAGGTGGTTAAAGGTGGAAAGTAGACACGAAGCGCAAGCCGTAAGAAAATGTGCGTGTGCCACCTCTCATTTAGTCCTTGGAATGTCCGCTGGATGGCGGTGCGTCTATATCGGGAATATACGATGAAAAGATGCGAGGTGGTGGTACTTGGAGTGTTGAATAGATGGACAAACAGGCACACAGGCAGGTGTATGGACGGACTCACGGATGGCTGCACCGACGGATGGACGCATGGACGGTCGCAGGGGCGGATGCATGGACGAACGCAGGGACGGACGCAGGGACAGATGCACAGATGGACGTGCGGACGCACGAAAAGATGCACGCGCGGACGGGCGAATGGACGCACGGACGCATGGACGGACGGGATCAAGAACGAATGGATGGACGGATGCTTCGCCCCACTCTCCATCATTCACTCCGTGGATATGCTGCCATTTTTTTTACGTGCCACATTATCTTTAGTTACGTATTACCAACACGCCCAACCTCATAGCTTTGTCAAATATCTTTAAACTTTTGCTGTAGTTATTCGAACAATATTGGCCGAACAGCACCGATATGATAAGGTGAACGAAGCGTTTCGACCATGGGCTTGTCCTTGTTATCACAAATCACTACAGGAAAACCGCTGGTTTCCTGTTGAGGCATATATTGTTCGCACCAATTAGTGATATGAAAATATTTCGCTATTTACTATATGTGACTCCCTTATTTGCATGGATTGTCTGTGCCGTTCGTTACTACTAAACACGTGTAACTTGGTGCTCTACATCATTGATGTATGAATTACTAATTGATCATTAGGGAGAGTTGGGAGGTTTGCGATTGTTAGAGGAGTGGTACAGTGTGCCTTTATCTCCTGCGGTTACCTCAAAGACGTTAGCCACCTATTCATTAGATGGGGCTAGCATACTGATTGCTTGGCTGTAATGACCGGCGTCTACGGCAAATGGAGCTTTCTGCAACGGCAAATTGTGGTTTTCGCGTGCCCAATATAAGTTTTTGCTGTCTAAACTGTAATTATGTCAGATATAAACCCCTTTCTGAACGCTTATGTAATTTTTTTCCCAAAAAAAAAAAAAACACAGAAGCGTCGTACCTAAAAAGAAAAAGTTTCGGCATTACGACTGAATCTTACCCACCCTACTTCGTTTACCTTGGGAAACGTAATTTGGGAGAGTTGAGTTGAGGGAGAAATGGTAAATTGCCTCATTCCTCTCTGTCCTACTGCCACACCGCGTTACACTGTGCAAAACTAAAAAATCACAGCATATTCATGAAATGAATGATGATGAGTGGGGCGAAGCGTCCGTCAATCTGTCCGTGCTTCCGTCCGCGCGTCCGCCCGTTCGTACTTGCGCCCGTTCGTGCGTCTGTTCGTGTGTCCGTCCGTGCGTACGTCCGTCAGTGCGTCCTTACGTGCGCCCGTTCGTGCGTCCGTCTACGCGTGCGTCCGTTTGTCCATCCGTCCTTCCGTCTGTCTGTCTGTCTGTCTGTCTGTCTGTCTGTCTGTCTGTCTGTCTGTACGTCCATCCGTGCTTCCGTCTGTGCGTTCGTCCATCTAGAGAACACTTCAAGTACCGCCACCTCGCTTCTTTTTATCATATATTCATCATATGCAAGTACCGCCATCCTTCAGACAATCCAAGGACTAAACGAGAGTATGCACCACATTTATGCTGTCGGCGCTCTGTTAACACCGAGAGCGTGATAAGGATGCCGTGCTACTTTTTTAGTAACATGTCGACATGCGGATATGTGCCCGAAGGCGGGTATGTGCCAATGGTATGCGGGTTTGTGCCGCAGCTTACGCACTACGACAACGGGAAACGCACAAGCCATGTCATAAGGAGCTTCACCCCTAAAATTTAAGACGAAAGTACTTAGCGTATATTTGGGAAGCATACCGATGAAGAGTTCACAGAGGTTGGTCCCACAGCCCTACAGAAGTAGTACTGTGCAGCCAAGACTGCCGCCACAGCGCTTTAAAAGAAAAGCTTCTGCTGGGTGATTTGATGTTCTTCAAGCGAAGGGGACCCACTGGCCGTTGCCTTTGACGAGTTTGACAACGATGTGTCTGGTTTTCATAATGAGTAGTATGACATTCGGGAAATCAATTGGCTTAAAGAGTTAACCTCCCCGTCTTTCTTTTTCTCGTTTTTCTTTTTCAAGTGACAAGATTCGAAGTTTTTTTTCAGTTTTAATTTTTTTCTAAATTTGCAATCATTATATGGTTATAGTCGCGTGCAGTAACATGATGTCAGCGTCAGTACGCAGTTCCTGCGAAACAAAAAAGAGCCCTCTCGGTTCTACCTTCCTCTATAGAAAGATATGGAAACCTTAGTTATTACGGAAACTGTGATGTATACGTGCCACTTAAAAAAAAAAACTATCGGTGTAGCAACATTAGTGCAGCTCTGCTTCATGTTTTATATCTTTCTACATTCAAGTTCAACAAAACTAAGTATACAGCTGTAAAAAGTGTCCCAATACTCTCGACCCTCCCCCTATTGACATTGCGAATAACTTGATTGCTTACCTTCGACCGTGCCGCTTCCATGCGAGATTTGTAGCAGAACTCTAGCAAGGCCACTACCATGGCCAGCACGAGTCCCCCGATAAGGATGTAAAAGCAACCAGCGACGTTGCTTAGTGTGAGCTCGTTTTGAGTGGACTCCTGCAATAACACACGATGAAACATATCAAAGTCACCTATCAGAACATTTCAACAGTGCTCGAACTGGTGGTTTGCGGGGATTATTGGCTCAAAATTTTACAGCACAGGCACTGGAATGTGCGAGAACGAATACGTATGTGCAGAACTAAGCAATTATTTTTTGGAGGAAAACGCTGTATTGAAGAAGAAGAAGAAGAGTTGTGCATGTAATTACTTCTACATATTTAATGGTATGCTACATCATGGCTACAGTCTTGAGATAGGTTGCTAAGGACGCTGGACAGTTTGTGAAGTTTCGGCCACTCTCCTCCATAGGACTTACTGCCCCACAGCAAACGGTTTGTTTCGGACACAGCTTTCATTAGCTGACAGTTAAAACTGAGAAAATGCATATAGTAGTACTGGCAGGAATCTTACAGGTACTCTGTAGTTTTTTTTTTTTTGCTGCAGTACAATGTGCAGCTGCATTGACAAAAACAACTATGACGATCCATTTGGCTATTAGTTTTCTCTGTGACAGGAATCGAAGCTGTAGACATATTAGAAGCATTGCAGATTGAAAGAAATGGCATGCAAAGTTAATGTTTGCCAAATGATTACCTCTAGTGTTTACGCTTATGCATAGGCCATTTACGGAGATTAGAACTTTTGCGAAATTTAAAAGTGTTTGTGAAGAATCTGTCAGCGGCGTTGCACTTACTAGCCTCTGTAGCAAGACAGTTTTTGTGAAGGGCTGTGAAACAATTATGTATAATGTCATTAATGAAAAAGAAACCGTGGGAGCTGTATCTAGTAATATCCAGTAGAAGTATGATAGTAACATATAAAGTTTTGCATGACTAGCAGTGGTAGCTTAGTTACCACAGTTTCGCTTGTGAGTCAAATCCTGGGTGTGGCGACTGGATTTCGACGTAGGCAAAACTAAAATCGCCCTCATGTGCTTAATACCCGTTGAAGTTGTCCAAAGTATTATGGAGTTTCCCATTGACGTTTGCTTTGTAAGGAGATGGTTGTTCTGGAGCGTAAAACTCCACAATTTTATTTTGCAATAACTATTGGTATTTTTCACATGTCAACTATAAGCATGTATATAAGAATATTCCCTTTTATTTATACTAGACGTCCCCGTGTTCACACTGAATTATTTCAAATTTAGTACATGAGTTCTGCTGCACAGTGAATTTGAATGATGCTCTGAGAAATGGTCTCCTACAGCCAACAGTTGCCTGGAATATGCTTCGTGATTATGAAAACTGAAACCGTGAGTAAACAGCCCCAAGAAATTTGAATATTTGTGCAGAAGCGTAGATTTTTTTTTAGTGGGGGAGGGGGGGGCTTGTTTAAATGAATGCCACTGAGCGAAAGCAACGGACGTGAGTACTTCACTGCAATTCCCTTATCAAATTAAAAACTGTCGGGATGTCTAAGCAAACAGCTAAAAGATTACCACTTGTTGTAACACTCACCTTGCTGTCGCCGCTTCGGCATTCACTGCGATCATACCACCATTTGTTTTCTAAACGAGCAAGGTCTCCGTTTTCTTTCATGCTGAGAACGGCGAGATTCAGCCGGTCCCTGCCGACAGAAAGCAAGCGTATAGGTTGTTTTTAGATATACTTCTGCCTCTACCTACAGCACCTTCTAGGCGCATTGTTATACGTGGGTGGATCTACAATGCTAAAATGCGTAAACAAGATCGTGCAGGATAGAATACAATACAAGAGAATAATTATCAGCATAAAATACGTGACACACAACGAATGGGCTTCGCAAATGATTTTGGGATCATAAACAGTCGTTAGAGAGAAAAGACGTTAAAATTATAAAAAACTGATTTATACTGATAGATTTGAAGTTTCTTGCACGTTCGTTTATTTCCACGCTGTTTGCAGTGTACTGCAGCAGTTGCAAAATGAAGGAGATGAAAATAAACACAACAACAACTACAGGAATGATTGTGGGACAGATAACACGTGCGTGATATTACCAATAACGCTGTTTTAGATATTCTGTGTAAACACATATTTCTTCTGGTTCTGACATGGTTAGACTGGCGAGACAAAGAAATCAGATCGATATAACCATTTCTGCAGGCGTGGTTCACACCAAGTTTGAATGCGCGTTTGCATTTATTTGCGGCACTGCATTAGCGTCAACTGGTTATAGATATTTGGAGACCACCCCAGGAGTGGTGTAAATTACCCTGTTTTTATCGCTACACGTAACATCACGATCACTCAAACATACTTCTATTGGGCTCTTTCTAAGGCTTGCAATGATAAAATTTACTTTTGTCGTTACATGATCTCATCTCGAAAGAACCGTTACTTACCTACCGTGGAATCGCTAGGTACATAGCTTGGAAGAGAATGTGGGCTTGCTTTATGAAATAAATTTTGCCCTCGTGGCTCACTTGTACCCAGATTTGCCAACTTTTTTATCACCCAGTCTCATTGAGACACTATCTCATGGCTCGATTTCAGTCTGCGTGAGTGTGGTTGAGTCGACTCACGGGCGAGTTTGCCGACCTTTAAATATGTAACTTTCTTTCATTAGTACAGTCGTATATTGTGGCTCTAATGTGCTCGTATTAGGAACAATACGGCTATTGTTCGTGCACAGTTACTTCACAGGCAGGTTGCCCTGCTCATCATTAATTAGCTGAAGTAAATGAATCAGAGAGCTTTATGTGTACGTTTTATAAAAGCTATATTCTAGGCATTTTCGCTAGATAAAAAGTACAATATTTATGTAACACAGTGAATACCATTAGCAGCAGAATGCAGTTGGGCTTCCTTTTAAAGTCTGCATTGGACTATTTTAGATATCATCCATAAAGCGGCTACTCGTTGCCATCGGTCTCACCGCATGGTCTCACACTATGCGTAGCAAACTTTGCAATGGCACTTTTTGTGTGGGGATGTTTTTATTGCCATTATACTAGTGGCAGCAATTATGTAGTCTTGCAGAAGGGTTGAACCTACAAGGAAACAGCAAATGCTTAATTCCTTCATGAGAGCACCCACACGTTTTGTGTTAGATTAGAAGGCGTTCAAAACAGTACTTTTAAGAAGAATTGTCTTTTATAGCAGCGTCAAAAAATTTAAGGCAGCAGATGCAACTGCGGTTAATGTCAAACGAATAACGCACGGTTGGCCACTTTGATAGAACACTGTCCACGTTTTTCATGCCACTGAAACTGCTTATGCCTTAATCATATGGAGACCCGATTCCGCCTTAGCCCTTAAAAGTTGTGTTTATCTCAGAGAAGATATATCTTTGGGAATTTTAGAAAGTTTCTTTTTTACTGCATGGTCAGGTAATATTGCCAATAATTAAAAAACTCTGCAAGTGCATTATCAGCGATAGAATATGCGGCATGTCAAGGTACTCTCCATTCACTAAGAAACCCTCATCGTTCCAATTTTTTTTTGTTTACGAGAAATCTCAAGAGGGCCGAATATTTACCTTTTGCTTTTCATTTGCGAATTGTCATCCTTGTGACGTCAAGTGTTGGTACTTTTGTAAATAGTCCCACCCAAATGCAGAGTAGACACAGAGAGGGTTAACCTAAGTAGTTACCACGAGTTTATAATTTGTTTATGTCTGCTATGCGTCCTCTTCACCATTTACTGCTCGATTAACCTTGTAACAGAAATCTACCTCAGTGCAACTGTGGTTACGGCGCTCGACTGCTCACCTAAAGGTCGTGGGTTCGATTTCGGCTGCGTCGGTGACATTTTGATGGAGGCGAAACTGTACAAGCCCGTGTACTGCATGCTATCGCTGCACGTTAAAGAACACCATTTGGTCGAAATGTCCGGATCTCTCGACTACGCAGTCTCTCATGATTATATGACAGATTTGGGACGTGAAATCTGCGGTATTAATTGAACATTGTAACAGAAGTTGTTGCCTATGCGAAACGAGTGATGCATACATCAGAACCCCTGACCTAACGTGTCGAATGAAGGCTGTGCAAGTGCTACTGCACTTCCTGCGTTCAAGCGGGCTCTTAGACCGGCTTAGATGTGAACGCCCTGCGTGTGTGCACATGTATGTGTATTATTCGCGTGTTTTTTTATCGTTATTATTCATTCATTTTTCTCTGTCTTCTGTACAAACCCTGTTTTCCCACCTTTACGCAGGTTAGCAAACTGGCTAATTCTAACAGGTTAACTTCCCTGCATTTTCCTTTTCATCGATTCGTGTTTCTCTCCCTTCGTACCTTAGATTCGAGCCAAGCGGCGTAGCGACGCCATATCCCTTGGCGTCGAGGTTCCTGCCCACTTTCATGGTGTCGCAGGGGTGTCTCTCGTTGATGTAGTCGTTCTTGGTGGACTCCATGAGGAAGGCGTACTTGCCCTTGGACTCGCGCACGCGCCGAATCCCTTCTTCGTACGTGGAGGTGAAGACATGCTTGCGGGTGTTCATGAACTCCCACATCCGCGCATACACGGCGATTTTGGAGCGCTGTAATGAAGCCGGTGCATGCGTTATACCAGGACATTAGATTCATCGCGCATTTTACCGGCGAGTCTAAGAAGACAGCTAAATAAGATGCAAATAGCAGGAAAGGCTGACCGCCTATTGCCAAAACATATAACAAGTGTTTCAGTTATAATAATGAGTTCACGAGACATTTTGTTTCATTTAGTGCTATAAAGCAGTTATTTTAGGTGTTAGACCCCCTATATGATATAGTTAAACCATAAAATATAATCTAGTTTGACCATAAAATAATGGATATTTTTCAGACTATTTACACGATAATATAACTGTTACTCACAGATGCTTCCCAGATTTATTTAAGATATCATCGTAAACTAACAAAATGTGTCTTTAAGCATAGTGATTTGCAAATTTTCTACAGAAAATATTATTTCAAAGGATGACGCTGAAACGACGAAATACAGGTAATTCTTTCATTTACTTCATCACACAAACACTATGCTCAATGCTCCACGCTGTGCCGTATGAATAATGTAAATTGCCAAGCTATAGCGTTCTCAAACTATCATCGGTAAAGTATAAAAAAGGCGCAGGACATTGGGCATTGAAACATTTTTAGTTTTTCGCTGAAGCAATCTTTTTATCAGTAATGTTAGCCCTCTTGTTGAATATGCATGTCAAGGGAAGTTACCAGAACAATAAAATTACATAAACGCAGAAAAATAGTTGTAAAAATGGTAATGTAAAAATAAAACGTACCAATACTCATTTGATAGACAGCTGTTTTAGCGAAAACCATGAACTAGCATAGAAAGCACTTTCAATAGAGATGCGTAGGCGTCGTTCCTCTCCAGAATGCTCACTTATTTCTGTTGTGTGTGATCCATGTGCTTACCCGGAAGAACTCTTGGGTAGAGGAGAATGAGAGCGTGCCGTACTCGACCTCCGTTTGTTTGGCAAGGTCGTCGGCTGAATTGATGGGCGTGACCATTCTCTCGACGGTCAAGAAGGCAGCCAGGTTGGCAGTGTAGCTCGATATGATTATGAGCGTGAAGAACCACCACACACTGCCAACGATTCGACCGGCCACCGATCTGCAAGAAAAAGCCCAGACTTCAGGGCAGGCTGTTTTAGAACGATGAACTTTCATTGTATGTAAAAGGAAATGCCCAATAAACTGAAGCCAGTCATTGCCGAGATTTCTGTATTCAGGTAGTGGTGAACGCCAGAATCTGATTATGCCTTCCTCGTGGTTACATCAAGAAATCGGGCACGCTTTCGCTGTTAGTTGAAACATCAAACAGCACAACGTAGTAAAATACAAAGAAAACACAGCACAGAGGCATGACTGCAACTGGTCTCCGTGAGGTGTCTTCTTTGTGCCTGAGTAGATTTGTGCAGTTTTATTTGTGAACTATGTAGTACACACCAACCTGCCAGTAAATTGTACACTATTAGTATATTTGTCAATTCATTCTTCTCAATGCATAGTCTGACCCATCAGCATACCAGTAGAGGTCAAGTCAAAACTACGTTGTGCTTTTTTTCTGTACTTGCTTCAAGTGTTGTTCTTAAGCTTCGGCAATGAAACCGCTTTGTTTTAATCTGTCAAATTTAATATGCTCTGCTAAACAACAAAAATGAAAACAAGCACTTAAAGATGTGTCGCTTAACGTTCCAACCAATAAGCGTGTACCGTCAAGAAGGCAGCTGGATTGGCCGCCTTCTGAAATTCCGTGCAATTTTCAAAACTGCGCAAGCAATCACAGCAGGCATGATTCGCTTCATTTTCTCACTAGGTAACTAACGTTCACTGCAGCTTGCAATCAGCCAATGCAAGATAAAAGGTGTGGTGCATACCCTCCGTGTTTATATATTGTACTCATATGCATAAAAAACACTACACTCAAGATAGTATTCTAAAACGATCTGTAAGGAAGAAAGAAAACAAGCCGAAACCTGTCTGCATCTGGAAATGAAACGCTCATACGAGATGTACAAACTAGCTGTCATTGACCTAAGCTCATGTAGCTGGCAGGGTTCAGCAAAGTTACACAAGCTGGTAGAAAAAAAACATAGGCTTATCTCGATCGACCCTGAACGGCCCAACACAACGCCTCGCTCTGGGGTTATTTGCCCGTCAGGGCCAATTCGTCTCCGGGCCCCGTAGTCCTGGGCGCCGTCCACCGATAAGGTTACGACATCTGCCCGTCGTCAGTGTGGGTAAGGTTTCCATCAACTTAACACCAAGCATCGGCGAAAAGCACAAAACGGTATGAGGCGGCTGATAGAGGAGACTAAGAGGATTACTTGGCATCGGGGAGGAACGGAGAAATTGGGAGTTGGGAGGGCATAGCGACGACGACAGGATTGGTACGATGGTAACACTGGCTTGAGTCATCAACTAGACATCCTATCTGTCGGGACTTTGGCCCTCAAAGAAGTCGACTATATATAGAACCAATAAATTCTTTGTTACAAGTAAAGTCGTTGGGACGATGTTTCAAAGGAGAGCGTTGGCAAAAAGATACTTTGGTGCCCTAGAAACAAGGAGTGGCAAATATACCTCAGAAAGAATATGGCATATTCTTCCTCGTTCATAGCATGCTATTTTTAACGCACACTTGTCATTCTAGATTCGTTTAGGGGGTTATTTGTAATCTTTTTATTGCTTGTTGCAAATGCAGTAGGAGATGAACATAATTGGTATTATAAAAAATAGGAAAATTAGATACATATATATGACCATATGAATGACGCGTAATCGATATTGGTGAAAGCCTATATTTTTAAGATATGCAAGCCCCATCAGGACCCGAAGACGAATTGTTTGATGCTGTCAAATAAATAGTTTTTCCAAGCACAACTTGTACGCAATAATTACCATAGGTCAGAAAACTCACTCATAAGTCGACTCACTCGAATTCACTCAGACTCAGATCGAGTTATGAGTCTAAGTCTGAGTGAGTTTGGCCTATGGAAATTTTGGTGAGGGTGAGTCCGAGTGAGTCCTAAACGCGACATATTTATTGAGTGAGTGTTGATAAATTATGGACCTATCTATGCATTCTTCAGCTTCGCTATCAGTCTAAACTGGTTTCACGACTACTCCCTCGTACTCCAAAGCGGTGTCCGTCATAAACAATTTCAATATTCATTGATCAGAGGTGCGAGCTAACTAAGGGGGGGGGGGGGGGTGCCTCGAGCTTTCTCTCGCCAACTCTTTCGGGGAAGTTCTTCATAAATATATCTTGTGTTATCACTTCCAACAAAAATGACTACTAATAACTCATAACTCGTATTCGAAGGTACTGTACCAATCGCCGTCAATGAGAGCACCGAATACGTGGGATATTAGTGTTAAAGAGCATTGACACCAGGTTTCAAAAGGTTCATTCAAGGCTAATGGTCTCATGAGTCGACTCACTCGGGTTCACTCACATTCAGATCAAGCTGTGAGTCTGAGTGAGTCCGGCTGAGTAATGTTTAGTGGAGTTGGAGTCCATGTGAGTTCGGTTGAAGAAAAGTGGTGGGTGTGAGTCCAAGTGAGTCCAAAGCACAAAATGTATTTAATTATAGTGAGTATGAGTGACTTCCACAAGTTGACTTCTGGTTATTACACTTACTTCTAACGTGAGCGAGCATTCCTTTTGTCATTATTTCTCAGCTAGTACAACGTACCTCATGTTTACTCCTGTGCAATTATATCGCTCAAGTTTGCTGAAAGGATGGACCCGGGCATGGGAGTATCAGTCTTTCTGATAAAGCTTCATCCACTTGCAATTAACAGAATCTTTCTCCTCCAGCTCGTTTTTGTTCATAACTAAGTGCAAAATAAATGTAACCTGAGAAAGAAGTTGACAGTGGAGTATCTATCAATGCCAAACAAGATGTTCTGATATGCCACAGTGGTTAAACAGAGGAGGAAAATGTATATGCTTTTGTTGTTAGAAAGAGAAAGAAAAGTGGTGCGTGAAATATATCAAGTGAATTTGCTTCTATTGCTGCGGGGCTGCAATGGCGGAAAGGTATAGTTAAATCAACACATAACGATTTACAATGTTTTGATGGTGACTTACATCATCGCACACATGCGAAAATACAATGACGTCGGCGACAGTTGAGATGCTAACGTTGCTTAAACTGTGCAATACCAAGATGTGCGCTTAATAAGGGGCATGGGAAGTAACATTCATCGTGCAAGAAGATCCTCACAAGTTGGTGAAGTTTGTGCTATTTAGTTGTACCTTTCTCACCAGTGTCAAACTTTTTTCTTCACTCGTGACAAAGTGCACTTCTGTGCCTGTGTGTACATGCTTTTTCTTAGGGCGTGCGTCATTCGGACCAATCAGGCAACAGTACAAATAGTTCAAAAGATAAGGCAAAACCAAAAGTATAAGCAGGCCGAGCGGTGGAAACGGTGCCCACACTGAGAATCAGAGGGAGCTTCTCGAAACAGGGTGCGTTTTTACTACCCTGCAAATCGGCTCCTTTGCAAATCATGTCATGTGCTGCAGGCTAATTAATCAATATATGCTTAAATGATTGATTGATTGATCGATCGATTTGTGGGATGTAATGCCAAAACCACCATATGATTATGAGAGATGCCGTAGTGGAAGGCTCCGGAAATTTCGACCACCTGGGGTTCTTTAACGTGCACCCAAATCTGAGCACACGGGTTCACATATGCTTCAATGAAACACTTTATTTCGTCAACTATGAATTCCAAGAAGCGAAGGCTAGCTGCACGTTTCTGTAAACCAGCTGTTCTCGTGGTATGCTGGCAATGTGTAAAAAAACTATTCAGCCGACACCTTCGCTCAAAACGTTGGTACCGTATTGGATTTGAGACTGTGACGCAAGACCCAGAAGATACGGAATCACAATTACACAAAAAGCAAACACCGTTACGACTGGTCTTGTTTTTCGGTGTGGCCCACCTCTTGACGTCTTTTGTTTAGCCTATCTGATCCACGTCTGCTTATTATTGCCTGTGTAAACATGAGAGCCTTGTTCTTCAAACAGTGGTCCCGATATCCGTTTGGGTTTCTTTTGTAAACAACACCTATATTATCTCATCACAGTAGCGATACTGCTCACTGGAGGATGTGTAAACATGTCGACGCTACACCATAGCCCAATTGGATGTATTGCTTCCAAAGGCCACATTGGATGGCTGCATAGGAACTGTTGATTGATTTGTGGGGTTTAACGTCCCAAAACCATCATATGATTATGAGAGACGCCAGCATAGGAACTGTAGTCACTGGCGTAGTGACATTGGTCTTGAGCCTGCAGAGCGACGCCTGGTAGTACCGGAAGTGCTATCTAACCAATACTGTTCTGGCATATTGCTTTCGTCGAACGCAGCTACACGCCAATGCAGCAGGTGTAAGGCAGCAGCCCACGACATGGTTTGCAAATGGTGCCGCGAAACGGAGGCGGGCTCCCCGGGCAGGCCTACCTGGGGCAGATGTCGCACCCCTGTTGCATGAAGGCTCCCAGGGAGAACCAGAGACTGTTGTAAAGCGAGAAGTCGTTGGACACCGAGGGCCCCACGAAGGTCTCCTCGTAGCGCCACTCGTGTGGCGAGAACCGGCTGACGAGGAAGAGCACCACAGAGACGCCCACGTAGGCGAATATGATGCACATCCAGATCTCTCGCGACAGCGGGTTCATGAAGGAGAACACTCCGGGCTTCATCTTCATGGGCTTCTTGATCATGATGCTGATTCCCAACGACATAAAAGGCTTAGTGAAGTCGATCACCCGCTCCCGGGCTGACGTGATAGTCAGGGGTGCGATAGCAATGTCCGCCTCCTGCAACGAAATTAATCACATTAAACAGGAGCAGTTACGCATGACCTATAGATCCTATGCTCAGCAAAATGAGAATAGAATTTGGATCTAGAACAAATATTTCGGCGAGTTTGTACTCGTGTGCAGGCAAGGCATGACCAGGCATGCAGGCTTGGCATGACCTGGATGTTTCTTCACCACAGCTTTTTTCACCTTAGTTTTGTGACCTTCAGGTACCAAAGGCGGCTTTCGTTTTTTTATTTTGTTTTCTCACAACTTTTATATTTGAGCTAATGGTCATTTATCTGGCACGCATGCATATTACAGTTGCTTATGCCTTTTGGTGTACGACTATACGTGGCCGCTTTCCGAAAACAAACGTCAGTTCAAAGGGTTATTCTGCACTGGTTTTTTCTTATGGTTTTCCCGAAAGAAATGTCGGCTGACATGTTTTGATGGAGCGCGCTCATGCAATCGCTAAACGAGACAGAGTTTACCGCGTCAAATGTTTCATTTTAGTTGTTAATAAGAAACTAGTGAAGAAGACAGCGTGTTGCTATATGACTATAAGGCACCGCATGATTGCCTTGGTTTCTGCTTATGCTTCGTGTATCTTCGTACACGCGTATTTCGTTTTAAAGACTTATATTGACACAGCAGTGCTGAATGAATTGAATTTACGCTTCATTCTAGCGGTGAACACTTGAAGTTAGACACTTGTGAACACTTGAACATTGACTTCACTGAGCATGCCAGTGCAACAATTGTCGTATGTTAACGACCGAGTAGGTCGACTTCACAAAATGACGAAGTTGTTGTTTGTGCGAACGAAACAATTTGGCTAGCCACCAAGCCGCAGTAAATCGCCCACGTGCTGTGAAATTGACGCGAGGTAGCATATTAGGGTCAGGAAGTAAAGTTTATTATGTTAGAACAATTGAATGAACACTTGAACATAAAACGGGCACAGTTCTGAGTATCCGCATGTTTAGGTGTACATTAAACCTTACACGGAGTTCAGAAATATGAATTTTGATCTCTAGTAACTATGCAAGTTTCAAAACTATACAATGGTTCTACAAAGTCTTAATTTACAAAGTCATATAACATCCATGTTCATGTCTCCGGCCTGATTTCACTGTGCAGCATCGTTGAAGCCTGAAATGGCCTATATGTTGGTATTGTTAGAACATTCGGTTAATGTTATTGCCAAAGATGGGCGCAAGACATTTGTTATCAACAAAATAACCAAAATGTTACTCCTGCCCAATTAACAGTGATACATGCGTAAGCATTTATGCAAAAATAAAGTGGCGTACTATTTTTCTCGGCAACATTAAAACAAAACTCTTTTGACTATAGAAACTGAGTAACGTACTTTCAAGTTAGACACAATCTAATGAAACCAACATACAGTGAAGCTAAAGTACATATAGAGGACAATTATTCTGTGCTTTATCTGTGGTATAGTAATTATGACACGAATGAAGAGAAATAAAAGAGGATGAAAAAGTGACATGACCCAGGTAGGGACCGAACCTACAACCTTTGTATACACGCCTGATGCTCTAGTTAAAGGGATCCCACGTACCCCTAATGAAAACCTTGTGCAATTGCTTGCCAAAGTTGGTGACGCCTTGGGGGAGCCAATAAGTGAACAAGACATAGAAATATGCCACCGTTTGCCAGCGAGGAGTGCCGCTTCGCAAAGTAACACGGCACCAGACCCAGGTGTTGCAAAGAACAACGAGGTACGCCCTCATGCAAGCGCTGTTCCCGATCGGGGTAGCAAAGCAGGCAGTGACACCCCCCTGAACGAAAACATCGTGGTTGTTTTCAATCACCGAGCTAAGAGGGATGTCATCGTTAAGAAAGCAAGGAGAACTCGATTCACAGCTGAGGAACTGGGATTCACAAGTAAACAGTCTGTTTTCGTAAATGAGCACCTTTATCCCCAACTGAAAAAATTGCTGGGTATGAAGATTGCTCGGAAACGGGAAATGAACTGGCGCTTCGCGTGGGCAAGTGGTGGCAAAATATTTGCGCGTGAAACGGAAACATCTCGTGCAGTTCAAATCACATGTGAAGCCGACTTGCACAAGATGCACGCGGCCACTTCAAGCAGCCGCAGGGCATCTAGCATGTCGTAGTCTTATCTGATTAGCGCTTGTCGTTTTTGTGGCGCGTCCTTTTTTTCTTTTTCTTTTTTTCCTTTTGTTAAGATGACGCTATTACCACGTGATATCAATATACCTTACACTAGTGGATATTGCAGTATCATGCACTTAAATGCTCGCTCAGCTCGCAACAAGCACGATGATATAACTACGTTTCTCGACGAATTCTCGTTTAAATTCGACATCATCATGATTTCTGAAACTTGGTACACGTGCAATGACGAGGTACTATGCTTGCCAACGTATAAATCGTTCTTTCTAAACAGGCCCTCTCGACGAGGGGAGGTGTGTTGCAACTAATTGCTGACCATTTAGTTTGCAGCCTTCTCTCAGACTTTTCAGCGATTACACCAGACTATGAGGCATTATCACTAGCATGTCACAAGTATGTATATGTGGTAGTTTATCGTCCACCTGACGGAAAAACAGAAGCGTTTTTTCGATTTCTTGAAAATCTGCTTACGTATGATGATATCTGGGGTTTAACGTCCCGAAACCACTATATGATTATGAGAGACGCCGTAGTGGAGGGCTCCGGAAATTTAGGCCACCTGGGGTTCTTTAACGTGCACCCAAATCTGAGCACACGGGCCTACGACATTTCCGCCTCCATCGGAAATGCAGCCGCCGCAGCCGGGATTCGAACCCGCGCACTGCGGGTCAGCAGCCGAGTACCTTAGCCACTAGACCACCGCGGCGGGGCAATCTGCTTACGTATGCGTGCACTAACAAGTTGCACATTATCATAGGGGGCGACTGCAACATTAACCTTCTACAGCAAACTGAAACCTCTGGTAAATTCCAACTACTACTTGATTCCTTTGCGTGTGCTAATATTATTACTGAACCTACACGTGTCACTTGAGATACTGAAAGCCTTATCGACTTACTTATTACAAATGACATAAGTGATTCAACCGTATCTGGAACTGTTATTGCCGATATTAGTGATCACTACCCTATATACATGTTTCAAAATCGCAACGAGTATCTTAATCGTGCAAAAGTATCAACTCCAGAATCATACAAAATACAGGAAATTAGTAACAAAACATTAGACACTTTTAGGCGTGAAATTGCGCAGATTTGTTGGGATCCTGTCTATAAATCAGTTAACGCTAATGAGGCGTATGAAATATTCATGTGCCTGTTAAGAAAAAACTTACCATAAGTGCTTTAAATATAAAACTGTCGAAACCCTAAAGAAAGGTCAGAAACAATGGATGACGCGAGAATGTCTGAAAATGACTAAGAAGAAAAATCTACTGTACGCGAAATTCGTGAAAACAAGACACCATAACGATCTTTCGGAATTCAAGCGGTATAGAAATTTTGTAACGAAGCACCTGAGAAAAACTAAGGATGCGTACTATGAAGCTCTCTTCAAGAATGTTAGCACTCGTGGCGACGTGCTTTGGCGAGAAATAAATAAGCTTCTAAATAGAAGTTGCTCTCGAGACAACGCACTTGAGTTAAAAATAGATAACAAGATAGTAAAAGGTGAAGAACTTGCTAATAAATTTAACGTGTACTTCACAACGCTGGTGTCCTCCGATTTATCAAACCCTTCTCGTGCCTGTAATAGTGATTACAGGGACTTTCTGGGTGTGCCAAACATGAGCACTGCATATTTTTTAAACACAACTCCTGAAGAAGTATTGTCTGTATTTATGTCACTAAAAAACACTACTGCTCGGGACATAGATGACCTACAAATTAAGCCTATTAAAGCAGCACTTGATCTTTTGTTACCTGTTCTTACCCATCTGTTTAATATCTGCTTATCTACGGGAGTTTTCCCAGAAAGAATGAAGCATGCGAGAGTTAGTGTCTTATACAAATCTGGTGACCGAAATATCTTTTCTAATTATCGTCCGATCTCCATACTTCCTGTTATATCTAAAGGGCTAAAGAAAGTCATATATCAACGTGTCATGTCTTTTTGTGAAAAGTACTCTATATTATCACCGCATCAATTTGGCTTCCGACGGGGCATGTCAACGGAACTGGCTCTCCTCACACAAAAAGAACTCATACTTAACTCATTTGAAAAGAAACTGTTAACACTGGGTGTTTTTATTGACTATTCCAAAGCATTCGATAGAATCAACCACGAAGTACTCTATGCAAAATTGCGTCATTGTGGTTTTCGGGGAAACCCACTTGATTTTCTGAAATCTTATTTATCACAAAGAAAGCAATCTGTAGTTATAAATGACAGCCAATCCTCCCTACTAACCATAACGTCAGGTGTACCTCAGGGCAGCATATTAGGGCCCCTACTGTTTAATATTTATATAAACGACATAACAAGTGTCAGCAAATATGTGGGCTTTATAATTTATGCAGATGACACTAGTATATTTTTTCATGGTAATGATTTAGGTAAGCTTGCAGCCTCAGCCAACAACATTCTTAACGACATCTTCATATGGAGTACTGCAAATTATTTATTGATCAACACAAAAAAATCCAAAGCTGTGGTATTCGCACCAGGTCAGAAGGCTGTCTATCGTGGTTTGGATATATATCTAGGGCCCGAAAAAATTGAGGTTGTCAAAGAAGTTTCATCATTAGGAGTAATTTTTAATGAAAATCTTAATTGGGACGAACACGTTAATAAAGTAACTAGAAATATAGCTAGGACGTGTGGTGCTCTCTCTAAACTTCGACAGATACTTCCAGCAAACATTAAACTTTTACTCTATAATACGTTGTTTTCATCTCACATAAACTATTGTAGTCTAGTGTGGGCAGATACATCTAAAGCAAATCGGAACAAAATATTTTTACTGCAGAAAAAAGCGATTCGTCATATTGCAAACGTACCATACGACGCACATACAAGTCATTTATTCAGAGAATATAAGATTTTACCGATCGATCACATACACAGCTTCAACCTTATTATGAAATACAAACAAAGCTTGCTATCAAACAACGCTTGTTTTCTTAAACTGTGTAAACTCAGAAAAAATACACAATCCTATTATGACATTCGGAAAAAGGCCTTCCTGGTTCGTTCCTTATTCGCGAACTAATCACGGTTTGAGAAGACTTGAACACTGTATTCCAGCTTGTTTTAACATGTTTGAAAATAAAAACATCGACATCTTTAATATACATAAAAAACAACTTAAGAACCTTCTCATCCAAAATGGCGGCGTGTAGTTTAGCTTCTTCTAGTTGTCCGGCTACAATACTACACGTAAAAGAAACACCCTATAATAGTGCTCGTGTGTAACATGGCATCCTATGATGTTTGCTTTGTTTGCCATTTTTTGTTGCTTTTTTTACGAGTAAAACATGCCACATTTCACTCGTCAGTGTTTCCCTTGTGCATCAAAACTTGAGCTTTTCGTATACCCAGTGTTGCAAACGTTGTATAATCATTTTGTAATACTTTGGTAGCCGTTTAGCAACGTGTGCATTGTTTCATGATTGACCGTACGCTGTTTTCTTTTGTTATTTGTTGTTTTTCTCTCTTTGTGGTTTGCTTTTTATGTAAACCTGAAACTGATGTAATTTTAATGCATTTTCTTTTTATTTCCTAATTTCTTGAAGTTTTGAAAATCGACGTCAAATTGTTTTTTCATGTCTGTGCTCTGCGGATTTTTGTAATGCCAAGTGGAAAGGGGTAGGAGCCTCGTCAAGCTGCTAACATAGCAGCTTTTTGCTCTTATCCTTGCGTTTTCTTTTTCGCAACTCTGTGAAGAAAATGCTCAATAAAACTGAAACTGAAACTGATAGAGCGACACCCGCTACAGTGACACCTGCTTTAATTCACTTTAATTCATTTGAAATTATGTGTTAAATACTATGATGCAGGTAAAACGTGCTTAAATGTCCTTTATGCATTTCTTAGCTTCATTGTTTGGGGTTTCATTAGGTTGTGTCTAACAAAAGAAACGAGCCATCGATCTATCCTCCTGATCAATTTATAGCGAGGGCCTCGTTCCGACAGGCTTGATGCCTCTGCTGGTGTACGACAGTTTATTGGTCAGCTTCAAGCTCATCATACCATCACTTGCTGAGTGACGCCAGCTGACAACGAAACAGTCTTACACTCTCGCCGTCTTGGCGGTGAGCGACGCTGGCTAGAATCTTTAGCATTGCACAAAAATGAATGCCCAGTAAAGAAGATTCGAAAGTGACTGCCGCAGTAGCACATTTCACAGAGCATAGAATGCGTTATCCGAAAAATGTATTTTTGATACCTACGTGCGGCGACTTGATCTTTTATTCAATCTAGTTAATTTTAGTTTATGTAATAATCCCTACACTGAAGTTAATGCAAGTACACGCCATACCTTTCTTACGTTCATTGTCCGTTCATTTTCTTAGGTTATGTCAACAAAAGAAAGGACCCCTCAATCAATCGCCTTTTTTGTTCATACTTTTAATTTTCGGCAACAAACAAATGTTTGTGCAAGCTTAAGATGATGAACATTCGAATCAACAGCTTAGTTGTTTGTGAGAAACTTTAATCACCTAAATTTTTTTAGCCTAATTCATCATCTCCGAAGCGTTTTCGTTTACGCACTCATGTGAATACACCTCCAAGTAGGAACAGAAATACTCGCACTTTTTTTTTTCTTCCACCAGGCGACACGTTTCTCCCTAATTAAAAGTGGCGCGAGAAAACATCTGCCGATGATAACTCGTTAGTTTCCCCTTTCTTAATCTTTGTTAAGTTTTAAAACGACTCTGTATTCTATAGAATAGATTGCGTTCGTGATTAAGGCAATTGACAAGCGACCTAATGTTTTGGTGACTGCTTTCTTTGGAACAGCTAATTATCGAATCGATGCGATCGAAATCAAGATAGAGTGCTAATTGCTACACGCAGCTTTGGGATCATGTTCTTTGGGTTCTCTTTACGGTAATTACGTGTGTAAAGCTTCAGTGTGGGGCTACTTAACCAACATGTGTACGGTTGCAGACGGTGCTTATTATGGCAGCTCTCTTAATGTAACTTACTTATGTAAACTTCGAAAGTATGTCGACGCAACATATTTCTATTTGCATCTTCAGCGCTTCTTTGTTTGCTGCTTTTGTTCGTATCATGTTTTTGTAAGTATCAAAAACCTGCAACTTAAAGTGGTCCTAACACCATTATTAACCTATATAGGTTAATAATATGATGAGTGGGGGATATAAACGGTAGATATGTGTGCCCAACCTTCCCGAGAGCCGCTATAGCTCATCGTCGCATACGTTCGCTAATTTGGTGTTAGCTTAGGTCGCATTGCGCGCAACGTAGCCAATGAGTTAGAAAACATTCGCAAAATTTGTGTTCATAAAAGATAGTTGAATACCAGGCTTATGTGTTTAGGCGTGCTTGAAAGCGAGATGACGCATGCTAGATCGTCGGAGCTCGCATCAATAAGAACCACGAAACGGACACATAAAGATGTACGTATAAGCACAGTAATGTGGCATGTGCCTTCTGTGACATAGCTAGAACGGTTAACTGATCTATATAAAGTTTTAACCTTGAGAGCAGTGTGCCATACCAACTATTACAGGGCAACTACTGCAGGCTAGGAAATTGGCACTGAGGTGTTCATTTTATTACAACACAGACAAAAATATTTGTTTGCTTCTTTGATTTGGTATCACTGTGAAGTAAGCCAAACCTCTCACCTGGCGGATAAGTTCGCCGACCATCCCATTCCATCCGGCAGGAGAGTTGACATCGCGACCCCCGTACTTGGAGTCGTTCACAAGCTTCAGGATGTAGTTAACTTTCACTTGGTCGGCGATCAGGTCGGCCAAGTCCTTGCAGTACCCTTCAAACTGGTCGTTCCCGACTAGGACTTGCCCTGGTTCGGGCTTTTTGAACATCAAATATGGCTCCTCCTATCGTGGGCAAGAAAACACGAAGGTTAAATAAACGCTTTGGTTTTGAGAATTGTGCACTTGTGCAAAAGCGTCTGTGAGACCGAAAGAATGAAGTAAAATGATTTGATTCATATGTGAGGTTTAACGTCCCAAAACCACCATATGACTATGAGAGACGAAGTAGTGAAGGCCTCCGGAAAGTTCGACCACGTGGGGTTCTTTAACGTGCACCCAAACGTGAGCACTCGGACCTACAGAATTTTCGTATTCATCGAAAATGCAGCCGCCGCAGCCAGGATTTGATCCTGCGACCTGCGGGTCAGCAGCCGACTACTTTAGCCACTAGACCACCGTGATGGGGCAAACGGAGGAAAACAACAAGTATAATTTTACTTCTTCATAAGGAGGGCTGTAAATATATGATTGGCTCATAAAATAAATTAAATTTAAAGTATTTTTGAGGGACCTCGCCATGAGCGGAGCACAAGTAAAACGTTATAAAAAGTGTGGGATGCCTTCGATATCCATAGTTAAAGTTTTCTTTTTTTTCTAGCGGTGGTTTTCACTTGCAGTTTATAGATATCTTCGATACTTCGCGTACACAGCGTTAATTACCATCACTGCATTTTAAAGGCACTAACACTACGCAGCTATTTTAATACAGCATGGACACTGGGATTAGATATTTAAACGCTCAAGAGTTTGCACCACTTCATCCGGTACTTAGAGGAATGGTTGCCTTCGCAATTGAGCTGTTAATGTCAGTTGCACATAGCAACAAATTGCAAAGACGAAAAAAAAAGATGAAGCTTTCACGCAATATAAGCAGTCACAGGTCGGTGAACTCAATCATAAGTTGACTCACTTAAACTTTCTCAGACTCAAATCTAGCCGGCAGTCTGAGTCCGAGTGAATCCAAATCATTTATATTTTTGTCAGTCAGAGTCCAAGTAAGTCCAATTGCAAAAAAATATGAGGGAGAGTCTGAATGAGTTCGGCTCAGAAAAATTTTGGTGGGTCTGAGTACGATTGCATACAAAGCCCAAATTATATGTTTAAGTGAGTCTGAGTGAGTTCTGCTTTCTTTCAGCTACCTAAGCTCCTAACTAGTCAGGGTAGTAGCCAGGGGGTGGCACGCCGGGACGTGTACCCCCCTCCCCGAAATTTTTTTCGCCATTACGTAGAGAGATAAAAATGGCCATTTCAAGGGGGCGCCCCTCCAGAAATAAAAGAAAAACTCCCCCCCCCCCCCAGAATAAAATTTTTGGCTAGGCGCTTGTAACTAGTCATTTTCAGAATTACTAGCAGCTTTACCTGGATTTAGGTTCATACTCACGCCTCCTCACAAGTATTCCAAAGCAGTGCCATTATTGAGTAATTAGAGACATGATATGCGAAGCGAAAGCCTTGACCTCCTCTCACCAACTCTTGCAGGGAATTGCTTGATTATTATATCTTATGCTGTCATCTCTTCCAGAAAAAGTTACTGGTTTTGAGGCACACTGAACTCGTTTTCGAAGATGCTATGGCAAACGACATCAGGAAGAGTAACGATTAGGTGAGGTATCGGTGTTAAAGAGCATTGACACCACGGTCTAAGAAGCTAATTCTAGGCTGACGGACTCGTCAGTCGTCTCACTCGGACACACTCAGACTCCGATCGAGCCGTGACTCTGAGTGAGTGTGGATGAAAAAAAAATTATGAGTGTGTGTCTGATGGAGTCCAAAGCTCAAAGTATGTTTTCTGATTGAGTCTGAGTAAGATTTACAATTATCGCCAACCTATGTTAGCTGGACAATTTTATAGCGTAAACGGGTTTCTTCTAGGTCGTTGGAAGCCTTTAGCGAGGTGGTACAGGGTTTTTTTCTTGGTTGCTCCTCGGCGCAGAGAGGTTAGAATTGAACCGCATACACTCACAGACACGACACGGGTGTCCAAAGTCCAAAGAAAAAAAAAAGACTCGCTTTGAAACCGGGCATTCCCACCTTCCGCAGATCTACGGGCACGTCATCATACGAGGTCTTCTATCGTATTTTCACTGCCGCCGTTGCCATTTTCGTTTTCTAGGATTCTTTTCTTGTATATATGCATACAGCGCTGAGTCGCTACGAGCACATGCATCAGCAAAGCACAAGAAGCGTGCGGCCATGATGTCTATCAGTGGGTTCATTTCGACGGTTCTATAAATCTTCTGGCAATAACCGGTTGCGTGTGCCAAGAAATAATAAGTGGGGTTGCTGCCCCTCTGTTGCCTTTTTAGCGAACTGTAGGTGAGTGGTCACCTTTTGGCAAGTTTTGTGGCACAAACGCGTTCATGACGACAGTTTTTTGTACCCACCTTCTTGTGCGCACCAAAGATTTTCGGCCGGTTTGGAGAAATTTTTTGTCGATATTTTTAGGAACACGTTGTTTTTAACAATGATGAAGGCTTGGGCTTGGTGGAAATTTATTACAGTAGAACTTACAGCGAGAAGACACCACGAGACATGTCGGCCTCTATCTCATCACATGGTCCATGCTTTGTTACACTGTAATATTATTCCGGAACACATCACCCTTCGGTGTCTTTCATTTGCAGTCTGTTGTCACGCCTAACGAGCATTTGCAGCCACGTAAACTGAGGTCTTGGCCCGCGGCGTTGCACGTACATTTTGCCCACAGAACTGCTCATGTCACTCAGTAAACTGCATCTTGGGAGTGGTTAGAAAGCTTTACTAAATGACATCGTTTCCTGCAACCCAATAGGAGAAAATATAAATTAGCAGATAAAGCTATACTATAAAAGACGTTACTTACCAAAATGCTAGTCACAATGTATGTTTTATTTTCTAGTTCACTGTCTTGCTTCACTCGTTTGTACTTTGGTGGATGCGGATGTAAACCAGACGAGTCACTCCATTCTGCAATCTACAGAGAAAATAAAAAAAGACTTCTTAAAGTCAACACTTTTAAGAAAGCACATGACGCAGATGAATGCCTTGTCGCACCATATTTTTTTTTTTGCTCCATACCAGCTGCTCATTTCTTAAATAATTTTTAAAACTTTTTTTGACATTTATTGCAGATTCTTACGTTGTACAGTGAAAGCTTGTTAATGTGACGCCCGTTAAATTGAAAACTCGGAAAATTCGGACGTGTTATCTGGTGCCGGCAAGCATATGTATGATTTCATGGCATCGAAATCTCATTAGTTCGACCATTTTTTGCTGCAACCCGGATGATTCGGACGATTCGCGAATCGCGCCGAGCGTGAAGTGCTGCGTGTGTGACGCAATGGAATGAAAACAGCGTTCGAGGACAGCTGAAATGGGGCCCAAATGAGGCGGTGCATTCTGTATCGTCATTAGCATCAGCGCGTACCGCACGGAAATGACCTTAACGACGTTTGTTGTTTATTTCGAGTAAGCACATTCCGGGTTAGTTAAGACCAGCAAGTTTTGAGCCGCGGCTACATTGTGAACAAAGTGGTCAGTGGCGAAAATTGCGGTATTTAAAGTGCTCTTATTCAAATTGAGCACATGATTTACGTATCAATAAAGAAAATGAAAGTGTATTGACTTACTGGACATGTGTTTATTGTTTTCTTGGTATTTTTGATAATACAAAATTTGTTAATTCGGAATTTTTTTTTGTCTCGTGAAGTCCGAATTCAAGAGCTTTTACAGCATATCTTCTATTATTATAGTGCTTGTTTGTTTTGTGTTTCAGCTTCAATGAGAACAACGCTATTTCTGTGTCTTTTAAAATTGCTGGTTTGTTCAAGATCACTCATTTGTCTTTTTTTCGTCATTGTGGTACTGTTTATTTGCTGCAAAAAAGTTGTTTATATAATCTGTCAATGTTTTGAATATTATCAAAATATTAAACAAAGTGACATCAGAAAGATTTTGAGTAAATTAGTTTAGTTCGACAATATAGCATCACCAGATGAGAAATACGGTAAAGTGCAGGAACGGAGCTACACAGGATGCAGAGGAGGGTGAAGTCGAAATTTCTTGCTTCAGTGATTGATTGTGTTCTTTCTTTCTTTCTTTCTTTCTTTCTTTCTTTCTTTACTTATTTATTTATTTACTTATTACCCGAACAACACAATATGCTACAGGCGTCAGCGCGAGGTCTGCTATGGTGGTAATTAACGAAAGGCTGCCCGAGTTCTCTACTCAGCAGATCTCACGTACGCAGATCTCACGTACCTTTGGAAGTAATTGACTTTATGCGAAGCATGCAGAGGGAAGGTGACCGCGTTGGAGTTTTTTACTGAGCGACAGGTGACGGAGTGACACTAAATATATGCATAAATGTTGCACAAACACACATGTTGAAGAATTACAGATATTTTTATAACCAATTAGCCCTCATGCAACGATGACAACAGGAACATTAGCAACACCAGAAGTGATAAAATGATATGACGCGCTGGTGCTCGCGAGGATGGCAGCCCTGGACATGGCTGCTTAAATCAGCTCCACCTCACGGCACCCGAGAACAATTGATGTTAATTCGACGTGACAGCTGTATCAAAAGAATACATATGTAAGCTTTATAAAATAGAATAGCTGGCATGCAGTGCAACCACAACTGTTGTTTTACAAAAAATAGTGTCTATTTGAAAAGCAGTTCCAAGGCCTGCGTGGCTCTATGGTAAAATGCTTGATTGTAACGCAGAGTGCTGTGGTTCGATTCCTGCTGGGACCGTTACAATAATTATTTGCATGTGTGTTCTCGTCGTTGCTGAGTAGATAGTAGGTTTCAATCGACTGTGACACATACGCGCTTGCGGGCATGTGCCACAGTTTAACGGGAAGTGTCTGACGACGTACACGACGGGATTGGGACATTATTTATGTGTTGACAAGCGCGCCAGGTTTGCAATGCTATCTTACCGTTCCATACTACTTTTGGTTCACGCCAAGTTAAGGGTGTTATCACGGGAGCATCCAGACGTAAGCGGCTAGATAGATAGACAGATACACAGATAAATAGACAGATACGCAGACGCCAAAAGTGCTCACAGTACGCAAATAAATGCTTCGCATTTACTAACTGAACGAGCCTTGTGACGGAGTAATACCTACTCACCTTTACCATCTCACTGTTCATCGTCATCTCAACTACGTCAATAGTAAAATTCACTCGATTTCCTTGTTCATCAAATGATATGTTTCCCGTAAGGCCAGTTATGTGCGTCTGCAAGAGAACACCAATGGGTTTATTCGTCATTGCCTTTTAAACTCAACTAATCATTTTATGGCTCGTTTATAAAAATGGGGAACAACATTAGAACAGCAAAAAAAAATGTATCACTCGTTTTCTGAGTAAAATAAAAAAGCTTGAGATAAAAGTACAAAAAAATAAAATAAATAAAACTTAGCAAGATGTGTTTGACGCAGCATTTTCAGAGCAACAGGGTACCTCATTACAAAAGAACAGCAAACAAGAAGACGAAAATGGTCAGCCAAGGAAAAACAGCAGGTATACCGTGAAATGTCACAATGTTGTTTATTTTGACGTTTCAGTCATAGTCTGGCCCTCACGAGAAAAAAAAATATATATATATATATATTATCTAACATTTAACAAACTTTTTTAGATCTGAGAGATGTGGCTTGGCTCATACGCCATACTTTTATTCCATTTCACGCACACCTCTTCATCGTAGCTTCTCCTGCCTTGGCTTCATGTGTGTCAGACACACACACACACACACACATATATATATATATATATATATATATCTTCTATTGCACAATGTTAGTCCACATTGTAGAAGATTACTGGTCTACACAGAGGAAATGTGAAGTGATGAAAATAAAATATTAACACATAACACAGACGTAATATTGTATTGCTTCCTAAATGAGTACGGAAAGAGTCACGCAAGAACTCTAGATTCTATGTTCGAGTCTGACCCATCGACGATTGCTATTTTCTGTTTTCCGCTTTCCATGCAAACGTTCCTTGCTTAGCTTTTGTTTTTGAATTCCAGTTGAACATTTTCTCCGGCGATTGTGTGTTTAAGCAGAGCTATATATATATATATATATATATATATATATATATATATATATATATATATATATATATATATAGAGAGAGAGAGAGAGAGAGAGAGAGTTATCTGTGAAATACAATGCGATAGATAGTGAAAATACAATGCTGTACTCTTTATTACTCACATGTAAAGAGTACAGAAGACGGCAGCGTACAATATCCGACAATGATTATTGGAATAGAGGCTTCCATAGTCTTTGGGAGTACGTCCAAAAAACTTGCGCAGCATAATGGAACTGAATCAATGGCTGTGCATCAGTGTACAATTAAGCCTTATCGTACAATTTTAAAAGCACAAAGAAAAGGTTCCCCTAGTACTAGGCTCCATATGGGTCGTGATGCGTTCTACTATTGAAAATAATTCCAATCTTGCAACTCTAGACATCATTTTCGCACTTTAGCGCCATCCTAAATACAGTAGCGGCGGTATTAGCGGCATTGAACTTTCTTGCGGTGATGTGTACAATCATAAGGGTCGTGATCGAGACGGATCAAACAGACTGCAGTTCTCTGCAACTTGATGTATATATTTTTTATTAAATGTGGTATTTAAAACTGATAACGCTTTTTTACAGAACTAGCGACTCTCTTTCGGGGATGTCTGAATACGGTAAAAGCACAGGAGGGAAAAGAATTCATGAAGAACGGCTAGGCAGAGTTCACATAAGTCAGTTGACATAACAACTTGAAAAAACATGCAAAATACAGTCCCGTCACGTAACACACTGATGAGAAGCAAACATTATAGTTCACGTGCAGTTACAAAAACACTGTGTAAGCTGTAAAAGAATACTATACTATAAATATGCCTAATTAGTGATACGAAAAGAGTTAATTTCCTCTCACGGGTGCAGTTTTTCTTTCCAACAGGTCGAGTCCCACACTCTCACCTCTCTCAGAAATTCCGCAATGGTTTTGCCGTGCTCCCACGTGACTGCCGGCCAGCTCTGGCAGTCGATGCCCTTCATACCTCGGTTATAGACCTCCCCTCTGCGGAAGTTGTTGCGGAAGATGTCTGACTTGTTTTTCAGCAAGCGGCTGTACGTATCCAGTATCACTTTGGCGGCGTCGTGCATCAGTGCCACGTCCGCCTGGAAGAAAGTCGTGCAATGCGTACGAAGCCACGATTCCATTGCCGCCTCATTTCCTTAAAGTATCAAAGTTGACATGCAGCAAAAACCAATGTTAAAGGTACTCCACGGGAATGATACCACCACAGGCAATCTCTGCACATCCTACATCGCATCGTCTCTCCCTTTTTCTCGCGCTCTTTCAACGTCAGTCCTATATTTTCTCGCGATGCCATAAGTGAGATCATTTCCGCCCGTCTCTGTAAAAACTACGCGTAGTCGAGTTACAGTCGCAGGGTTTAATTGCCTTTGCGATGCCACTGCTGCATAGCGAGGTCATTATCCGCACCATGTCGTTGCTTGCACTCGACTGAAATCGCGTGCGTTACCAACCGTAATTCTATACAAGCATTTTTCTCAATTATCTTGTTGTATAACACACTATTCTTGGAAGTCTTAATGTGTGCGTGCTGTTCCGCACGTACGCATATTGCAGTTGCTAGCTTGGTGGCTATAACGGCTGTGGCAGATATGTTTCCGGAGTTCACAAAAACATCTTTAGAATGTTTGATTGAGACGACTTCAGTTAATATTGTAAGAATACTGATTGTTGTAGTAGTTGGTACTTGCTTAATGACATGTTTTGGCCGCGAATAACATAAACACAATTGTAAAGAAACACACAAGGACTAGCACAAGCGTTCCTTGATTAGGGTATTGGCGTATAGGCCGCCGGCCAATTATTGGGTAACCCTTATGCAAGAAGAGCTTCGGGAATTCAGTCTCTGAACCTTTATCGCAACATGTGCACGTTATATTACGGGTACCTTGAGCAAAGGGCTCACATGGTAAGAACATGCGACTCCACACCATAGACTTCTTTCGAACATATTTTAACTGAAGTTAGAGCCAGTTCTGAATGTTAACCTAAATGCAGTCTAATGCTCGCATGAAAGGGAAGCGCTCATTCCGGCGGCATACTTCAAAACCTTAAAGACTATAAAGGTATCCATTAGCCCTCATGGCGTTCTATTTAAAACTTCTCAACGAAGGCTTGCGATAAGGCTACCGAAATAAGGAACGCACCTCTATTGGACCTCGCGTGTTCTACTCGAAGCTTCAAAGAGATGTATTGCAGCTTCAAACGAGCACGTGTCGGCAAATATTCTGTATGCAAATTCGCCCGATACATCACGGGTGCGCCGAGTAAATAGATCACAGGGCATTTCAGGCTGTCCCCCGTTTGGATCTATTTCGCTTCTGCTCGATCCGTTGCTGGGCGTTATTATAAGCCCGTGGATTTGAATTTAAATGTGCGCTCCTTTAAATGTCATGATCAGGAGCTCAGAAATATTATATAAGCGAGTGTGAGTTTTTTTCAGTGGAAAGACGCGCGCGAATACTCTGTCTTTTTCGCTGCACACGCGCTCATATTTCACGCTTAAAAAGGTGTTCATGCTGCATAAATTAGCATACCTAAATGTTTTTCTTTATTGGTGCTTTCTTATCCAGAACGCTTGTCCCAGATGTAGAGGGGCATAAAAGTGCTTACGCGGGATCATATTGCTCTTATCAAGCAGCTTGTCGTCATTTTTCAGCAAATAAAAACAAAGGGAGAGCTTGGAAAGTTCAGTGCAAGCTAGAGACAGGACGGCAGTTGAGCACATTGTGGAACACGCCCTGTTTAGGCTCGAGTATGAGCTAAATAAATGAATACGTGAAGGTTACCATGATTGTCAAAGAATAACGTCTAACCTCCGTAATAGTTTAGCAGTTATTGATTTCTTCTGCTAAACACAATGGCATGGTTTAGGTTCCCTGTTACAACGGCTGCAGTTTGATCCAGATAAGATTTAAAAAAGGCAGTGTGCTTAAATTTTGGCTTGCAATAATGAGGTTCAGATGCTGTGAATTAAACTTGATACCTTTAATGCGTGGTCCTTCCTAATCCTATATCATTCGTATGGCAATTCAAAATAGAAAATTTATTTTTTAAAAAAAGTATCGTCCAGTGTAATGTGTACATGAGAAAACTGCGGCCGACAGGTGGTATGCACAGTAAAGTGAGAGAGAATTTAACCAAAAACATCTCAAATGTATAAATTAATTATCGTGCCTATTGTAGTGGGTAAAAAAAGACAATTTTAGTGTTGCCTTTCTCAGGTGAACCCCGACAACGTAGGTCGCAGTTTGCTTACAGCAGGTCATAAAATCCTCAGTGCACCGAATTATGCCAGTTGGTCCGTGCTTACGGGAACAAAAAATAAATTTTAACGAGATGAGGGTGTATGGCTGACCTGATCGCTAACCACTTATAGTTCACTCTTTATTAGTGTAGCGAATTACTAGTTATAGCGCTATTGCATTTTCGCTGTGAAGTCATAAAAAAATAACAATTTTCAATATTTCAAAGTGGTAAAGTCTGTAACAATCATGGTGACCCATCAGGAAGAGATAGAAACCGTTGTTTTTATAAGATAGATTTGTGATCTTGTATTTATTACACAATCTGTTTACTTTGAAACTTTTCTTTAAAGTAATGTACTTGTTCTTCTATTAACCTGATGGGAGATGTTCGCGAACAAATAAGGCACCAGATACGTTTGAATCATGAATGGATTGAGCATACAACGCAACAAATAAACGTACCAACAGTATAGCACATGTTAAATAAACAGAAGAGTACACGTATGTTTGCTCCATTTATTCAAGTGTGCTGTGAAAATACAGGCTTAAGTGTGTTTACAGAGTTGAGTTTGAAATTTGCTACAGTCTGTGATAGTATACGAGGGAAAAAGCTATTTCAAATAATGCTTCTTGCGAAAATATTTAGAGAACACTTGCTGACTTTTAGAGTTCGTATACTGACGTCAGCAATAATGTGATCATTGATTTTGGGAGCCATTTATAATATAACAATATAAAAGATAGGCAGAAAATGAAAAAAAAACTATTGCGGTGAGCGAAATGTTTGTCCGTAAGATAGTGTAGTACCAGGAATGGTTATCCGAAGAAATAGGCTTTGAGTATTGAAGCGCAAAGTAAAAGAAAGCAAGAGAAAACAAAAGAAGATTTCGCAGGATGAAAAGCTCATGCTGCCGATTCGAACGCTGATTGGCTGTGGACAACTGAATCCGCGAATCCCTACACAAGAAAGAAGGAATGTTTGAACGTTGGCGGATTCCTTCGATGGTGACCCGAGGCATTTTGTCTTCGGGAAATTTCCACCCCAAAAAACGCTGATTGCGTACTTCACTAAACCGATTTGATGGCCAAGGGCAAGAACGCATTAGTGTAATTGGTTTGCGCACGAAGTACAATAGGGGAACTGAGTTGTTAAGAGGATAGAAGAAAGCGGTAAACACGAAACGCAAAAAAAGAAAACAAAGCAAACGAACATATAATGCTTATTTTTGGTTGAAACGTGAATCAATGGGCTTTTGCTCCATTTAGTTCATGTCGTTGTAAAGATTGATACTGCTGCAGTCTGCAATTCTCAGTGCAGAGATGAGAGCAGCAAAATCTGAAGAATTGGCGCTGAGTGGTAATGTTGTCACCTGGACTTGTGCAATTGGGGATTATACCACTTGGACGGCAATAACGACTTTTCCATTTTCAATATTTCACGTTTTGAGTCTGTATAGCATTTTCTTTTTGATGGGAAGATTAACTTTTGAGGATTGGCACGCTGTCGTAGCTCAATCGCTATGATTTTGAGCCCCGCTGAACTCGTTGTTGCACTTTCAGTTGTCGCCACGAAGGTGAAACTCGAGAACGTTCGTGGCCTTAAGTTTTGGTCTGCATTAGAAAGCTCCAGGTGATCAAAACAAAATCCGCAGTACCTCACTACACTGTGGTTCTGTGAGTAGAACTTCCAATTGTATCAAACGTTTTTGCCATTCTTCTCTTAACAGAATGCCAAACATTGTAAGAAATCGGTATGAATGAAGAAGAGTGTAACAATAGTTACTTCACCTAACAGGTAGACAACTTACGCCTTTCATTATAAATAATTCGGTGTCAGAGAAGGACAGCAATTTTTTTGTCATTTTTAATACCAGTGGTCATCATAAAAGAGCATTGGCTCAAGTCTAAGTTCACGAAAAGCTTCCAAGACGCCTGAACTTCTCCTTGAATAGCAGACCGTGGTAACGGGGCAGCGTGCTCATCGCCTTTTCAATGGCAAGCCTAGCATCGGTTGTTGTTGCACGCTTCAACCATGCTGTAAATAAACCAAAGACTGTGCGCGTACAATGGGCCGCTTTAAAGTAACATAGAATGCCTACTGCAAGTACAATTGTCAAGTGCCTAATACGGCATATTTTTTTTCCTTGTTGCGAATCAACGGTGGGCGCCACTACGAGTCCGCAAAACAACAAGCTTACCCATGCAACTGTTCGCTCTGTTGATACTTTTGCAGCTCATGATGATGAAATATGTTCGAGCGCTTTGTAAAGGGTGGGTCGTCGAAACGTCTACTCGAAGTCTAGTTGACATGTTTTGACGCTTGGCGTAATTCTAAGTTTCTGCCATCCAGTACTAGGTGCATTAAGGAGACTCTTGCACAGCATCACTTTTATATAATTGTTCCTTCTGAAGCATTTTGATGCAGTAAAATATCTTTGTGAGAGAACACCTGTTTGCTTTGCTAACAGCAAGGGTTCGGTTAAAACTCGAACCGCGAAGTTTTGTTTCATTATTTTATTCACATCTTTCTCGACCTTTTGATCACTGACAAAATTATGATTTTTCGCTTACAACCAACGATGCCGACGCCGGCGCGTACGCCGAAATTTCAGCGAAACGAGCTTTCTATCACTGTCGCATTCAAATACCAGAACAAAACGCGAATACAGATTCTAGAACGCCTGATACAGCGTATTACTTGAATAAATAATGTATTTCTATTGCGTAGTGAAAGTCGACCAAATAACTGCAGTAACGGACTCTAACAGTGCAGAGATTAGCAGACAGTTCAGTAAATGACGAGTTCCTGTTCTTAAGTGTTGGCGCATTTGTTCTACGAGCAGCGACCAGTGGCAAAAAAAAAAACAATTGGTGCTTACGGACACGTGAGCCGTTCCAGCTCCAGGCCATTTGCTGTGGTCTAGCTTCTCCCAAGGTTTGTGGAACTGTTTGAACTCGTCTTTGTTCACCTGAATAATCCTGAAGCCGGTGACGTTGACCACACCGAGTTCGAGGATCTGGTTGTTGAAGTACTCGTCCATAACCTACAAGGTGAAAAAGTGAAGAAAGACGGCACCATGTGTAAAACATTCGCGGTCGACGGTAACAGCTCAAAATGAAGTGAAAAAAAAAGCTGCTATTCAAGAGGCATTCGTGGCTTTTGAATACTTTATCTAAAACGTAATTGTAATTGCTTGTGAAAATACATCAATTGTTCTAGAGGGCGTCGTTATTATCATCAGCCTGACTACGCCCATTGAAGGGAAAAGAGCTTACTCATGACCCGCCAATCAACCCGGTCTAGTGCTTCCTGCTGCCACGTTATACTTGCGAACTTTTTAATCGCATCGGTACACCAAAGTTTCGGTCTCCCATTTGTGTGTTTGCCTTCTCTGGGAATCCTGTTAGTTACCCTTAATGACCAGTGGTTATCCTGCCTACATGCTACGTGCCCGGCACATGTCCATTTCTTCTTCTTGATTTCAACCATTATATTCCTAACCCTGGTTTGTTTTCTTGCCCAATTCGCTCTCTTCTTGTCTCTTAGGCGGAGGAGAAGGATTGAAGGAGGAAGGCCAGGGAGGTTAGCCAGTTCTCAGACCAGCTGGCTACCCTGTGCTGGGGAAGGGCATAAGGGGAACAAAAGATGAGAGAAAAGAGAGGTTGAAGGTAAAAAAGAAAAAGAAGGACAACAGACAATCCACGACGCTGCTTACAGTCTGTCTCTAAGACTACTTGCCCGCTAGAAGCGCAACAACGCTCTCAATGCCTTGCGTGCCGAGGATGGTCTCAGCCAGTGTCCTTATATCCTTTCTTCCGACAATGTGTGATTGTCTAGTCCATCTAAAACTTTTAACAGTTCTTTTTTGGCGCACTGAATCGAGGACACTCGCAGAGAAGATGAGAGAAAGTCTCCACGCAGCCACAGTTGTAGCATGTCGGGCTGCTTCTAGTTCGATTCTAAAGGAGTAAGCATTCGTAAAGACCACCGAGATTCACAGACGGCACAAAAGTGTCTCCTCAGCTCTGGTTATTCCTGATGGAAGACGGAGCTGTAGGTGCGGGTCCAATTTATGAATGTGGAAGTTGGTAAATACCGGTGAATTCCACTAAGTGAGTCTCAGTTCTCGCGCAAGTGATAGAAGCCTTGTAGCGGCGTCCGTTCTTGATAATGGTATAGCTGCACAAAGGGAATCATCATGAGCAGATCAAGCTGCTTCATCTGCAAGGTCGTTTCCATCGATGCTGCAGTGGCCCGGTATCCATCGATACGCTAGTTCAAGTTGTTTGTCTATAGCCCGGTCATGAAGCAATCTTATTTTAGCGACTAGCTGTTCATTTGGTTTATGACGATATGGTGAGGCTATGTCCTGGGGGGCTGCATTGGAGTCGGAGAAGATTGACCATGTCTGCTGCGGTTTTTCAACTAGGAACTCCAGAGCGGCAAGAATGGCGGCGAGTTCTACAGCCGTGGATGATGTCAGATGCGAGGTTCTGAACTTTATTGTGACCTATTTTTCCGGAATTACCACAGCGCCTGTTGAGCTTGCTGAAGTAACCAACCCATCTGTGTGAATGTGAATGCGTCCACTGTGTTTTTCTTGCAGAAACAGAAATCTTGTTTGTTTTAGGGCCAAACTTTGCAAACATTTCTTTTTTTGCATTTCAGGGATGGTTGTCAGGGCTTTCAGTGGATGTTGACACCACAATGGTCTTCCTGCGTGCATGAAATTCGCGGGAATCACCGTGCGATATGAAGCAATATTAGTGCAGAACGCAGGGCTTGGCCGGGAAGTTGGTAGGGAGGCGAGGTGATGCTATTGAATCCTGTTGGCATGTCTTATGTGCGTTCTTAAAGCATCGACACGCATGTAGGTTGTGATAGGGGGTTCATGAGCGGTTGCGACAGCCGCTGCTGAGGATGAACATCTCGGAAGCCCGAGGCATATTCTCAGGGCTTGAGCTTGTATTGACTGGAGGACGCGTGCGTTTGTTATTTGGGCCTTGCCAAGCACAGGTAGTCTATAGCGCATGAAGCCGAGGAAAAGTGCAGTATACAGTTGAAATAGGGCTCGTACCGATGTACCCCATATTTTCCCGCAAGAAACCTTAAGACATGGGTCATCATGGCGAGTTTCTTTTTCACGTGAGCGATGTGAGGGCTCCAATACATGTCACGATCTATTATTACTCCCGGGAAGCAGTGGGCCTTTTGATAGTTGATCGTGTGTCCATTATAACGATGATGTATGAGGTCATTGCCTTGCGCGTAAACGCAACCAGTGAGCATTTCTCAGATGACAGCTCCAGTCCTCGTCCTTGAAGGTACTTTGACGTCAGTGTAGCCGCTCTCTGAAGCCTGGCTCGTACGTGTAGGTGCGTGACCCCTAATGCCCAGATGCAGATGTCGTCTGCGTAGATCGAAAAATGCACGGAGCGCGGCTGGACGTCAACGAGGCCGATGAGCGAAAGGTTGAAAAGTAGGAAGCTTAGGACCCCCTCCCCTTGAGGTACACCACGATAAGTATAATGGTGCCTTGTTGCACCATCTTTTGTCTGATTGAAGAAGGTTCTATCCTTCAAATAGCTGTAGATCTATTGGTAAACGTGCCCCGCCGCCCCATTTATTGTTCCCAACGCGTCCAGTATGGTTTCATGCAATACATTGTCATATGCACCCTTAACATCCAAGAAAAGTTCCGCTGATAATCTCTTTAGTCTTTTCTGCTGTTACACAGACGTGACAAGGTCAACAACATTGTCTATGGAAGACCGTCCACGTCGAAAGGCGGCCAATGCATCGGGATATGTATTGTCATGTTCCATGTACCACTCTAGGTGAGTCAGCACCATCCTATCCATCACCTTTCCAGAACAGCTGGCAAGCGCAATGGGGTGATAGGAGGTCATGTCCAGAGACAGTTTGCCTGATTTGAGCAGGGGAAAAGGTGGCTGCACTTTCACGAAGCAGGAACCAAATCGTTGCTCCACGAGTCATTGTATACAGCTACAAAAACCTAGGACAAACGCCGAGCTGTTTGTCTTAGGTTAACAAGGGCCATGTAAGCGACTCTATCAGGTCCAGGAGATGACGAGTACTTGCATGCTGCCGATGCTGCCTGAAGCTCCTCAAGAGAAAACATATTGTTCATCCGAGTGTCTCTGGACATCGGCGCGTTCCGTAGGTTACTCACAGTGATCCCGAATCTCTTGTTGGCAATCCTGGCGCAGAAGTCTTCTGATACATGGATTTCAGGTCGGCTTTGGTGCAGAGCAAGGCATTTGGATGGGTGATGCTATTGCGGCAATGTTCGTAGGCCGTGGATTATTCTCCATATTTGTGAAAGAGGTTTGTGGGGATTGTGCGAGTCGCATGATGATTTCCATCGTAGTGACTGTAGTGCATTAATTCGACGTTGAATCTTCTTTTGTAGACGTCTCGCCTCCCTCAAGTCGGAGATGGATTTCGTTCGTCTATAACTTCGTTCGGCGCGATGACGGATTGCTGGAAGTCACTCTAACTCCCCTTCACATTTGTGAAAATCTGACAAAGGTCCACAATTAGACGTTGCCTCTTGGATAGCGGATTTCATTATACCTTCTGGGCTTTCAAGAGAACCCTCTTGGTTTCCCTCGCATCGCTTCTCTGTGGATGAGCAGTACTTTGACCAGTCAATCACTAAAGAGCAAGCGATCTGCGACTTGCTTAGCCCCTTGATATTTATATAGGTGGGGATGCGATCACTGCCATGAGTTTCATTGTCCGCAAACCACTGCACCTTGGTACTTAGGCTACTTGACACAAAAGTTAGGTCGAGACAGCTACCATATGTCAGACCCCGTAAAAACGTGGGAGTGCCGTCATTTAAACAATATAGTTGGTGGTCAGATGCAAAGGAGGACACATCTCTTCCCCAACGGTCCATCTTCTGGCTTCCCCACAGGGGGTGATGAGCGTTGAAATCACTGTTAATAATCCATGGCCCAGGTGTCGCTGATATAATGGCGCTTAATCTTGCCGGTTCGAAGCGGCCTGAAGGCGAAATTTATACTGCCACTAACGTGAAGTTCACATTCTTACGCTTAACTGTCAGGCACACGTATTGGTTGCTGTCGTCCGGTGTTACTGAATGCTCAATATATGTGAGTTCGCACCTGATGTAAACAATGACCTTACTGGTTTTGTTACGGGTTGCAGATCTGAAAGCCTCGTATTTAGAAAGTCGTATAGCATTGTGAAGACGTGGTTCACAAATTACGATAATTGGAAACTGATTCTTGAAAACATATGGTCGAAAATCCGAAATGCGGGGTTCAAGACCTCGGGCATTCCATCGGAAAATTGATGCCTCTTTCACTTGTTTACGGAAGGGCTGCAGAGAAAGAGCCATGTTGCTTCTCTAGATTTGATAGCACCAGATTCAAAGTGTCTAATATTTGAAGAGCGCTGTGGGCAGCCGGAGTCTGAATATTATTCAGGAGTACACGAATTGTCTTCATGAGGGTCTTAATCACGTCTATTATTTCGTTATCCTGACTTTCATGACTTACTCGCTCTGAAGTAGTTTTCAGCGGGCGATGCTGTGGCTCTACTGGCGGTGTCACTAACGGCAGCGCTGGCCACGCGTCAGGGTCAATGTTTCTTGCATCTTTCTGAGGATGCTTGTTGTTGACACTTGTTGATGCTTGTGGTGTGAGTGCGTGATATGGGGTAGCGGTGTATCCCTGGCCTTGGCAGAGGATGTCCTAGGAGTTTTCTTATGGCGCGAACGCCGACGTCGCACTTTGGCAGCAGCCTCCCTGTGGATGGAACCGTCTCTGGCCATCTGCCTCAGCACTTGCATCTCCTTCTTCACATTTGGGCACTGCTTTGATGACGCCTCGTGAGGACCTTGGCAATTGCTGCATTTGCGATGTTCTGCCTGGCAGGCTTCCGTGTTGTGCGACTCCGAGCATCGGCAGCACACAGCAGAACTTGTGCAAACAGCACTCACGTGTCCTATTTTACAGCACTTCCGACACTGAAGAGGTTTCGGCACGAACGGCCGTACTGTGTCGAAAATGACCAACTCTTACTTGAGTTGGGAGGCTGTCAACCTTGAAAACTATAGTTTCACGCATCGTGAGTTCCCGAGACGGCGGCCTTGCAAGATTATAGTAGCTTCCGTCACTGGGTTGATTAGAGTGGGAAAATCAATATCGCTGATAGAAGTGTCGATGTCGTATATAACACTTGCCCTAGAGTCCTTGCCATCTGGTATGTAAAAACGTACGTTGATGTTACCCAGCACATTCACTTTGATTAATACGTCGGGAGCAGTACGATGCGTAACGTCTATCGCCAGAACGTTCTTGCGGCCATTGATTCTCACGTCTGTTAACGAGCACCTCAAGTTACACATACGTGGCTTGGCCACTAAGTCGGTTCATGCTGTCAGTGACATTCGGCGGGACAAACAAAATAGTGTTAACCGGTGGCCCTTGCATATTCGTGGTGGCCTTACTTTGGAAAGGAGATGTCGTAAGTAGCCTCCTCTTCGCCTTTCGCCTTGCCACGTGCACAAAGTCACTTTCATTGGAACTCTCATCACTGGCCGCAGAGTATATTAGCGTGTCCTCACTGTCGGCGTCACTTGGGTGGCCGGAGCGCTTTCTGAGAGTGTCCACAGACGAGGTGGAAGGTATGGGTGGAGGTCCTGATGATTCTACGTCCATTTCCACGGGAAAAAAAAACGGCGTCTTCCACTAGCACCAATGAAAAACGAGAAAATATATCTGATACTGAAACCAGCGTTCCACTCAGCTTGTCTCTTAAGGCTACATCTATCGGTTTGCTTTGCATCGCTCGCTGCGTCGTCCTCAGTTTAATCTGAATCCTCTTGTAAGCCTCCAAGTTTCTGCTCCGCAGATGATTACCGGCAAGATGCAACTGTTATATACCTTCCTCTTGAGGGTTAGTAGCAGATTGCCATTTATGATTTGAGAATGCTTGCAGAATGTGATCCACTCCATCCTTATTCTCCTAGTTATTTCCCTCTCATGATTTTGTTCGTCAGTTTCTATAAGTTCTAATTCAACTTATTCTTTTACAACTTCAGTATTTACCGCCAATGTCACGTTTTGATATTATCATTAGTAAGGTGTTGCACGTAGGGCAATTAAAAACTGTTCAAGTAACTGCTCAACGCTAGTGTTTTCTTGATGTCCTAAGTAGGCGATCTACAAGGGGCATGCCTCGTTCATAGGTGAGGGCATAAAGATGGAGACAAATGGGGGGGGGGGGTAGTTAGGAGGGGGGCTGCACTGACACTTTTCCCTCAATGTAAAAAAAAAAACTTTGCTCCTCTATGGCAGAAATAATGAAGGCTGCCCCTTCTGTCGTTGGCTACTTCACCGTCACGCTTTAGGTCCACTAAATACGCACCGTTAAAACAATGGCACTTTTAGATGTATTCCCTCTTTCGAAATAGTGCTATAGGTTACAGCAGTGTCTCGGTCGGGAAGGAAACACTGTCCTATGGTGCGATGAAGTTACGACAAAGTGCCGTATGTGCGTGTGTCCCGCACATTAGGAAAGAATGCTCTAGTCAGCCATGCTGGAGATGAAGATACTTACCGAGTCAGAGATATGTTAAGGCGATGAGACATGTTTAGATTACGCTCAGATGGGACACCAAATATAAAAGCAAATGAGCAGGACGAATACTGCCACTCACGAGGCTTGTGAGCAGGAAGTGGAAGTTTCTCCTTCCGGTGTACAGGTCACGCACGTGGTTGATGATGATGTCACGTGCCACGTCAGCGGTGCTGTCGAGGACGACGTACTTGCGGGACTCTCGGTCGTTCAGCTCCATCTGGTGCAAGAACGAGTTGGCGTCGGACACGTTGAAGAAGCGTCGTACCACGCGAACCTCCAGCTTTTTGTTAGCCGTCATGTGGAATATCTGCTGCAGCTTCAGCAGACCTGTGAACAAACACGAGGAGGGTATAATTTCATTAAAATACACTCGTTATTGTCTTATCTTTAATACGTTTTTTTGTTCTCATCTACGCTATTGTCAGTTGGTATGGGCTTCTGGAACTGAAACATCAAAACAAAAGTTGTATACACTTCAAAAAAGCGCTTTACGGGCTGTTGCAAATATAGGTTACAGAGAACACACATGCCATTTATTTGTCAAGTTTAAAGTTTTAAAATTTTGTGTTGCATATGAACATAACTTGTTGTTGTCTTTGAGGTATGAAATTCGAAAGAATTGCGCAAACCTGAGAGGCTTAGCACATTTACAGCCGAAAATTTTGTTGCGTCCGATGCGGAGTTCTGAACACTGGCACATCCCCCGACCGCGAACAAATTACGGACTCCAAATGCTAAAGCACTCTGTTCCCCATATACTAAATAAGTTCAAGCTCACAGAACAGCAATTGCGTCTCCTTTCAAGTAGTGATATATTAAACCTGTTTGTATAAGGAGCTATAAACCCAGAAAAATTGCCTTAGTACTTGTAAATGCATGAAATTTTAGGTGTACTCCTTTCTGTTATAGCGTCTTATTTTGGTTGCCTTTTTTCCCAATAATTGTTGTTTGTAAACACCCAAGTGTGCATCTATTCTGTACTTCATAAACAACTACTAGAATGTTATTTTCTTTTCTTTTTTCTTTCAATCATACGCGAGCACCGTATGGAGTTTGGTGTGCCATTGTTTCTGTTGCCTTGTACAAATGGGAGGTGGGGCTAGTCAAGCTGCTATAGCACAGCTTTTTTCCTACTTTCCATGCCACAATTGTTTCTTGTTTGTGTAAATCACGGTGTATTGTTGTGGTGAAATAAATTTCAACTTTCAACTTTCAACAAAGTCTTGTTTTAAATATTGTGATAGTTCATGACGTTGAGAAGCAGTACAGGATGAGAGATCGATATCGCGGCATTTGACTTGGCTGCTTGAATGTGTCACGAAAGAACGGTTAGGTGAGTTTCAAAATATTTGGCGTCACGAAAGCAAAACTTTGACCCATTCCACTTGCTACGGGAATCAATATTACGGGAAGCATATATTGTTGTTGATCAATTTGTTGATGTTGTTATTCTTTTGAATGAGCGAAACCTTACAAAATGACGTTAAATATATGTACAAATGTTCTAAACACAGATATAACTTAAACAGTCACATGCGTTTTATATGGCCATTTGTTTAAAGGAACGTAACAATGCCAATAGCAACGAGAGTATTGCCAACATAAGAAGCGGTAAACTGGTACGTAGCGCTTCTCCTTGCGAGGATGGCAGCCCCAGATGAGGCTATTTCAACCAACATTTTTGGATGAACCTTAACTACACTGCATAGCTCCGCCGCAGTAGTCTAGTGCCCAAGGTACTCGTTAAAGAACCACAGGTGGTCGAAATTCCCGAAGCCTTCCACTACGTTGTGTTTCATAATCATATAGTAGAGTTGGTAAGTTAAAACCCACATATCAATCAATCAACTACACCGCATAACCAGATCTCGTGGCTGTATTATACGAGCGTATATGTCATATTTATAAAGTTAGATAGCCAGCCCTGCAACCACAATTGACGCTTCACCATCATTACACCTGCATCGGGTCTCTTTCTAATGTAGTTCCGAGACTTGACGTGGTTCTGCTGTAGAATACCCCAGTGCCGCACAGAATGCTTGGGTAAAATTTCTACTGGGACCATAACATATGCTATTTGAACTCGTCGAAATAGCGCCGCTGTTGTCAGTTTACAGGGGCTACGCTCCTTAGGATGTGGGTCCTTCCCTCCTCCGTTTGTATGTATTATGTATGTCGCCACCTCTACTTTATAATTGCTCACTAGACGGCATTGTGTGTATATGCATTGAAAATAGTTTCACTAGATGGCATTAGTGATTTTAGTATAGTTGATGAAAAAAGATGGTAGATGACACTGTTGTTAAAAGAAATTCATAGTATATCCATGGAGTGAGTGATGATGAGTTGGGCGAAGCGTCCGTCTGTCCCTCCGATGCGTGCTCTTGTGTGATGGAAGTGGACAGACAGACAGACAGACAGACAGACAGACAGACAGACAGACAGACAGACAGACAGACAGACAGACAGACAGACAGACAGACAGACAGACAGTGCTGCCAAAGGTTGCAAAGTGCAAAGTGCTGCCATCTCGCTTCTTTTTGTCACATATTCATTATATACAAGTACCGTCATCCAGTGGACAATCCCAGGTCTAAACGACAGTATTCACCACATTTCTTCGGTCAGCGCTTTGTTAACACCGAGAGCCTAATAACGATGCCGTGCTACGCTTTTCGAAACATGTGGACATTCGGATATGTGCCCGAGGGAGGGTATGTGCCACTGGTATGCGGGTATGTGCCACATGTTACGCACTACGACACAAGCCACGCCATAAGGAGCTTCACCCCTAAAATAGCTTCTCTTCCCCGATCCAGTAAAGCTTTTGCTTGAGCCAGTTAGCTCAGCGGCTCCTATAAGTGTTGTCTTCATTTGCAATGATATTTTCTTTCTCTCTTTCTTTTAGGAGTTCTTCGTTTTTCCGCTCTTATTCTTCCGATGAACGTTCGCGCTTGTGTGTCTTCCTTTGTATTCAACCTCAGTTTCAGTGCGAGAACTTACCAACTGACTTATCCAAATCACTGCCTTATACTTTTCTGTCCCGAGGTGGTGGTCGTGGTGATAGTGATGCCACACGCGGGGTTAGCCTGGCAAACCTGGTCGGCAATAGCTCAGCATGAGCGATTTTTTTTCATGCAGTTCAGCTCACCAAGTATCGCTGAATCCGGTCTCTCGTAGAAAGCGTAATAGTATATTAGCCACTTGCATACGCATCAATTTCACACCTGCCTGATACACAATGCATTCCCTGAATCCTTAGAGAAACCGCCTTTTTTTTCTTCACACTGCCATTAATATTCACCTTTAACAGCAAAAAAATGACCGCCCAAGCCTTCAGCACAAGTGGTAAATCAGCGATAGCTGAAACGTGTGGTTCCTGTGTTTAGAAGTGGGTTCAACCTGACGCTGCATTGAAGCCTTTCACAATGATTGGTTACATGTTCTTGCTTTTAATGCGGTTAGACACACGTTTGGCTTGGGTTTACCAAAGTGTTTATTTCGCATGCCACACATTGTGCCTCACATTATCATGGTCGTGGAGGAGCGTATTTAGTGGTTGAATGGGTTTCGCAGTGCGTTAATCACAGTGGCTGTATTCGAACCACAGGTGGTCATAGACGTCGCAGCCGAAGTCGCAGTGTCGCTGCAGAAACTCCAACCGCAACGCCTTCGATGGCGCTTCGGCGCGGCGTTGTTGCAAGCGTTTCACACCGTGAGTTAACTCAGCGGCATGGTTTGCTGTATCCACCCACCACCATTGCTTGCATTTCTATTCGCTATTTAGCACGGCTTGGAAGGCTGCCGAATCATTCGTACACAGTTGCTGTGGGCATTAGGTTGACTCGCTCGCTGAATTTCGTGCTGACTGGTTGTGCCCTCGCGATCTCCGACGACAGCGCAACTCTGGCCGACTGGGCTCCCCCTACGCCATTTCTTGACACCGACAAGAGCTCTCACCGAGTGGTGCCCCCTCCTCGGGCTCCTGCAACCGTGTCCATCTCTCCTATCTCCTCTTTAATTCTGTAGTTCGCTGTCCATGCGCCTCGCTCTCTCCTTCCTCTCTCTATTTACCTTTCAATTCTATCGTTTTAATTCCTCCTTACGCCATCCATCGTGAGTTACTGTGAGGTGTCGCACTTTGATGCAGACATTTTCGCAGTTCACTTTTCTCTTCCTTTCTTTTTAAGAATCACATAAGAAAAAAGAGAAAGCACACGGGCTCCCAGGCATGTTTTGTGCTCCGCCTGCACCATTGGCGTGGTGAATGCGAGCTCTTGCGTGTTTCTGCTGTCGGCGCTCTTCTAGAGTCGTCCGTGGCTTACCTATAAGGAAGATTCCAGTAGAAACCCAAGCGCACGTGCTCGGCGCCCCAGCTGCGATGGGATGGAAGACGTCACTCACAAAGCAGCCAATAACGTGGGTGCTTGGGCGCAACGCTGAGAACGACGTAACTTATAGTACAGCAAAGTGAAACCGCTCGTGACCTCGCTGCTGAGCAGTTTTTCGTATCTCCTAGCCATATACAGCTTTCGCGATAAAACGCTTACACGACCAGATGCAGTGCTGAATATCCGCGATTTAATTGCTCTTACTGCACTGTGGGAAAATTGCGCCCCTTACTTCAAATAACCAAGTGTCCGCCTAGCGTGTTATTATTCTGTACAGCTGGGTTGAGTCAGTGCGACTAAAGTCCCTGTGACGTAGGGCTGGTGAGGCAATTTTTGCAATAAGGAAAAACGGCATCGGATTGTCTGTTTTAGTGCTTTCTGGTAGTAGGAGCTCTGATGGTCGGTTGCTTTAAAGTGCTTCGTTGGCTAGGGCATCTGCTCTTTTGTTGCGGCTGGCTCCAACATGTGAAGGTATCCACTAAAACGTTATATTTATACCTTTTTTTGGCATTATTATTGACATTAGGATAGCATTTTTCTACTCTTCTAGAAATGATGATCTTAAGCTGCAATCACACGTCTGTGCGCGCGCGCGCGCGTGTGTGTGCATGTGTGCATGTGTGTGTGTGTGTGTGTGTGTGTGAGTGAGTGAGTGAGTATGTGTGTGATTGAGTGAATGAGTGCGTGTGTGTTAGGAGGGTGGGATTCAGGTGGGTTGCTTTGCCGCATTGGGACGCTATTTTAGGTAGTGCATCCTTTACAGGCGGAGAACGAAAGTGCGTGCATGCAAGAGGGCAACCTCCCATTCAACGAAAAAGTGAGTGAGTAAGTGCAAGAAAGAGAGAGTGTGTGTATGTGTGTGTGTGTGTGTGTGTGTGTGTGTGTGTGTGTGTGTGTGTGTGCGTGTGCTTGGAGGGTGGGATTCAGGTGCACCGC